GGGGGCTCCACCAAAGGTCCCAGTGGCACTGCCCGCTTGCGTCCGCCACCACCCAGCACAGCCCTTGTTCCCTGCGCTTCACCCACCAAGAACAGCGCTTCGTAGCCCTATAGGGAGCTCCACCAAAGGTCTCAGCGGCACCGCCCGCATGCGTCCGCCACCACCCTGCGCAGCCCTTGCTCCCTGCTTGCGTTTCACCCACCCAGTACAGCGTTTCGTGGCCCCATAGGGAACTCCACCGAAGGTCCCAGTGGCACCGCTCGCATGCGTCCGCCACCACGCAGCACAGTCCTTGCTGACCGCGTCTCACCCACCCAGTACAGCGTTTCGTGGCCCCATAGGAAGCTCCACCGAAGGTCCCAGTGGCACCGCCCGCATGCGTCCGCCACCACCCAGCACAATTGCGGCATTCACAACTGCATATGGTTGGGTCCTTCGCCAAACTAATTGTTGATGACTTTCCATGTTGAGTTCCCATTCTTGTTGATACCCCTCTCCGGTAACCACTGCATGTCTTAATTGTGGTGCTTCTCCTGGGGCTAGCACCCTGTTTCAAATTCAAAAAAAGCTGCGTCACGAAACTATGCTGTTAGGCCCCCTGTTTGCTACAACAGCGGCTTCCGCCTGATACTTCCCCGCAAAGTATTCCCAAATCGCGCTCTCGCGCAGGACACCTTCACAGCTTATACAATAATCCAATTCTCGCGTGAGACTTTCAAACAATGTATTCAGACGCAGCGCCCTCGACACCCAGGAATGACGCTCTCGTTTGGGATTTCCTCACGATTTAATTCGGAATCGCGCTATCGCTCGAGACTCCCTCGCGATTCATGCAGGACGCACGCGTCAGCAACCTGGCTGCCCCTTGTCCCGTTCTTCCATCTGTCCTCTCTTCCGCTGCCTTAAAGGCTGCACGAAATACATGTTGCAAATGAGAAAGATATTCCCGCAATGGGGGCACAATCGAAAACGAAGACGGCAGAGATCGATGGTTTGGGATTTACGTGTTGAATAGTACGCGGGCAGATAAGAGCGAGCAGTCTCAAGATGATTGTTGTTGTGGTGGTGGTGGTGGTTGTTGTTGTTGTTGCTGTTGTTGTTGAATCTCGTTTCTACAGAATACTACTTGTGTCTGGTGCCCCCCAGTAGCAATTGCATGTTGCAGTTGACATGGTTTTCCCAGGGCTCGCATCTGGTTTTTTCCCAACCATCCTGTGGTGTTGGGTCCTCGTTTTGAAGAGACGGTGCCCCGCGTTCCCGCATCCTTCCTCCCTCCCTCCTCCCCCCTCCTCCCCCTCCCACACCCATTCTGGCACACCCCTCACACGCTTCGTGGCCCCATAGGGAGCTCCACCGAAGGCCCCAGTGGCTGCGCCCGCATGCGGTTCCACCCCCCATTCTGGCACACCCCTCACACGTTTCGTGGCCCCATAGGGAGCTCCACCGAAGGCCCCAGTGGCTGCGCCCGCATGCGGTTCCACCCCCCATTCTGGCACACCCTCACACGCTTCGTGGCCCCATAGGGAGCTCCACCGAAGGCCCCAGTGGCTGCGCCCGCATGCGGTTCCACCCCCCATTCTGGCACACCCCTCACACGTTTCGTGGCCCCATAGGGAGCTCCACCGAAGGCCCCAGTGGCTGCGCCCGCATGCGGTTCCACCCCCATTCTGGCACACCCCTCACACGTTTCGTGGCCCCATAGGGAGCTCCACCGAAGGCCCCAGTGGCTGCGCCCGCATGCGGTTCCACCCCCCATTTCTGGCACACCATTCACACGTTTCGTGGCCCCATATCGAGCTCCACCGAAGGCCCCAGTGGCTGCGCCCGCATGCGGTTCCACCCGCCATTCTGGCACACCCTTCACACGTTTCGTGGCCCCATAGGGAACTCCACCGAAAGCCCCAGTGGCTGCGCCCGCATGCGGTTCCACCCCCCATTCTGGCACACCCCCACACGTTTCGTGGCCCCATAGGGAGCTCCACCGAAGGCTCCAGTGGCTGCGCTCGCATGCGGTTCCACACCCTTTTCCGGCACGCCCTTCACACGTTTCGTGGCCCCATAGGGAGCTTCACCGAAGGCCCCAGTGGCTGCGCCCGCATGCGGTTCCACCCCCCATTTCTGGCACACCCCTCACACGTTTCGTGGCCCCATAGGGAGCTTCACCGAAGGCCCCAGTGGCTGCGCCCGCATGCGGTTCCACCCCCCATTCTGGCACACCCCTCACACGTTTCGTGGCCCCATAGGGAGCTCCACCGAAGGCCCCAGTGGCTGCGCCCTCAGGCGGTTCCACCCCCCATTCTGGCACACCCCTCACCACGTTCGTGGCCCATAGAGAGCTCCACCGACGGCCCCTGTGGCTGCCGCCCGCCAGGCGGTTCCACCCCCATTCGGACACCCCTCACACGTTTCGTGGCCCCATAGGGAGCTCCACCGAACGCCGCAGTGGCTGCGCTCGCATGCGGTTCCACCCCCCATTTCGGCACACCCCTCACACGTTTCGTGGCTCCATAGGTCCATAGGGAGCTCCACCGAAGGCCCCAGTGGCTGCGCTGTCATGCGGTTCCACACCCCATTCTGGCACACCCCTCGCACGTTTCCTTGCCCCATAGGGGGCTCCACCAAAGGTCCCAGTGGCACTACCCGTTTGCGTCCGCCACCACCCAGCACAGCCCTTGTTCCCTGCGCTTCACCCACCCAGAACAGCGCTTCGTAGCCCTATAGGCCACCAAAGGTCCCAGCGGCACCGCCCGCATGCGTCCGCCGCCACCCTGCACAGCCCTTGCCCCCTGCCTGCGTTTCACCCACCCAGTACAGCGCTTCGTGGCCCCATAGGGAGCTCCACCGAAGGTCCCGGTGGCACCGCTCGCATGCGTCCGCCACCACGCAGCACAACCCTTGCTGACCGCGTCTCACCCACCCAGTGCAGCGCTTCGTGGCCCCATAGGGAGCTCCACCGAAGGTCCCAATGGCACCGCCTGCATGCGTCCGCCACCACCCGGCACAATTGCGACATTCACAACTGCATATGGTTGGGTCCTTCGCCAAGCTAATTTTTTATCAGCGCAGACGGAGCCCAGTGGCACGACACGACAGACGAGCGACGGACGACGGACGATTGGCCCTAAGAGGGCACAATCTAAAGACAAATGTTGCTTGCGTGCGTGCTTGCACTCTTGATGGCCTGCTGGATTACCTGCATACCTGCCTGCTGAAAACTCGCCTGCCCGCGTGCTTCGCCGATCACTCCCATCCCGCATGTCACTGGCTGAGGTACTGACTCACGCATGACAAACCGCTGGTGCATGTGCTCAGCTATTCATTCGATCAGTGTGTGTATTCAGCTTGACTGAACACGGAGCGGGCTGATCTTGAGTTGCGAGGGGGGCAGTCGACAAGCCAAGCCCCCGCCCCTGCCAACTCTGGCAGCCCATGCATGGTCTAGTTATGTCGCGCGCAACATACAAGAGACCAAATGGAAATCCATCATCCAGAAGACAGAGGGGTCGCTCCCACTAAGACATTGCGAAATCGGAGGAGTGAAACCCACTCATTTCACCAGACAAGCAGCAGAGAGAATGCGATGGGCAGACTTTGAGGGGCCCTCTCGACGAGACATGGACGCTGAACGCGAACTGCTACCAGCACTTGCATCGGGTTGGTCAAGCCACGGACACCAAACCTGAGATGGGGACTGGGCAGCTTGAGTGGCAAATCTTGGCAAGCCAATGGCGCAACGGGCGGAGACAATCGCGGAATCGCTCTACACTCCAAGCTTCGACTGAATGTATAGTTGAGCTTGGATCCACTCGAGCTTCATCCCTGCACGTTTGACCCGTTGGCGCTGAGCGCTCGTCCAGCAAGTGCCCCTCCCCGCAGAGCCTGGCTGGAAGAGCCGACGAACCTCAGGAAAAAGTCCGCGAATGTGCGTCACAATCCCTGCTCTAATATGGACACACCGCACTGCGCCAGCGGCTGCAGAGTGGATGGCGAGAGAGTACAGGAGGTGAATCGCGCATGAGCGTCGGGAGGACAACGAGGAGGAAGGCGATGAGAAGGACGGGCGTCTGAGCACGTCTACCAGGCCCCGCCCCTGGAGTCCTGTCAGTCTCGCGCTTCCTCTCCTTCTCTCTGCCGCTCCCCCTGGAGAGCGTCCCCTCTTTTTGTCGCTGCTCCGCCTCCCCTGGAGGCCTGGAGGCTGGGACGCGGCGTGCGAACCACGGCAGACCGTCGATTCGGACGCCCGACATGGATCCTGAAGACAGGGGCACGATGCCCAGCAACCGATGTACTTAATTAGCCGAATGCTGACAGCGGCCGATGTGGGGCACCTACCGTCTGCCTGACATGGACAGCTTCCGCGGGACAACGCCAGCGAGTCTGGTTCACAACGAGCAAGAACTGCTGTCGGTCTTCGTTTCCATTCTTTCCGTACCAATCTTGATCCTCCAGAACCCAGCCGTCTGCGGCAACTCATGGGAACCAACCATACCACCTTGCTGGCTCTTGCGGACCGACGCGAAATCTAAGTTCGCCTGTGGCAATGTTCGACGCAAGATCAGCGCTTCCTCATCGACTACCAGACGCTACCGCACGCTAAAGCACTCTGAGGACGGAGTTCAGCATTGAGCAGGGACCGACCGTCTTGGCATTCCCATAGGCCTACCACGACATGCTCTTAAAGCCCAGAAATGTTCTAAGAACACAAACAATGCTCTTAGAGCATGACCCCGATGTGCTAAACCAAGACAGTCCCAGCCAGAGATGTTCTAAGAACATGTCTTGCAGACCACAAGAGGTTGTTGGAACATTCTTCGGCGGGCCTACAAGCAAGCCCGGACGCTTCGCCACTGCTCGAAAGAGGACACGCCAGGCTCACATGAGTTGCTGCCGAGGCAGCCCCCTCCGCGTCCACGTGGGAACGAGGGCAGCGGCAGCAGGCGGCGGGGAGCGGGCGGTGCCGCGCAGCCGGCGCAAAGGCGCGCAGTCCTGGTGTTGGCCGCCTTCCTTCTGGCGCTCGGCCTCCTCTGCCTGCTCCTCCGGCCGACCGAGAGCCGCGGCCGCCGCCGAGCCGGCCGGAGGCAGTGAGCCTCGTCGAACCGATGCCTCTCCCCAGTAGCGAGGCTTTGGCCCCACCGGCCGATGTGTCCCCCTCGACGGGAAGGTCCGCCGCAGTGCCCCTGTGCCACGAGGTGGGGCGTTCCCAGGCCGTGCGTAAGCTCTTCAATCCTCGGTCCCCGAGTGCCCCTCGGGGGCCCGGCGCCCGACTTCTGCAGATTTCCCGGGGCTCCCCGCGTGCCCCCTGGTAGGGCGACGAAATCTATACATATCCACTGCTCCCAGGCCAGGCCCATCCTCAACCCCGCAGCGGTGTATACGCCACGCCCTCCTGGCTTGGCCAGGAGGACGCATACACAGCTCCTGGGCTCAAGATGGGCATGGTCAGGGAGCAGTGGATATGTATAGATTTCGTCGCCCGACCTGGGCTCCCCGGCCTCCCGGGGCATGCTGCCGCGCGACTGTGTCGGGGCCAGAGGGCCCCAAGACGGGCGCAGAGGGCCCCGAGAGGCCGCCCAGACGGTCCAAGAGGGCCCCGGACCGCCGCGCGATCGGCCCAAGGCGCCCAAGTAGCCCCGAAACGGCCCAGGAAGCCTTCGAAGCGCCCCAGGAGGGCCCGAAGCGCCTCCCCAAGAGGGCCCCGAGAAGCCAACATCATCTACGTTCCGTCGGTTTTCCAATGTTTTTGGGGTCCGAAGACAGCCTCTAGAGGGGCCCAAGAGAGAAAACACGAAGCGAACATCCGAGTCTTCCGGCCAAAGAGGCTCCCAGGAGGCCCCAAGGAGGCCCAAAGAGGCTCCAAGAGATCCCCAAGAGACCTCAAAGAGCCACCAAGAACGCCCCAACACGGCCCCCAAAAGGCCCCTGAGAGGCCTCCCGCGACATCCCAACGAACATCGTAGAGGACTATGCCCCACAACCCAGGCACGATATCGGGATGGGCCGACGGCCATCAGATAGGTTGTTCCCTTCGAGATTCAAGGGAATATCCCTAACTGGGGCTGTGGGATGGTGGGGATCGGTATAGGGGATGGGGACAGGGATCGGTCAAACGATGACCAAAAGAGGTCTTAGTTTTACCCCCCCCCCCATTTTTCGCTCGGCGAGGAACAAACTCGTCCCTCCTCCTCCTCCACCTGCTCCTGCTCCTCCTCCTCCTCCTCCTCCTCCTCCTCCTCCTGTTCCTTGTCTTCCTCCTCCTCCTCCTCATCCTCGTCCTCCTGCTCCTGCTCCTGCTCCTGCTCCTCCTCCTCCTCCTCCTCCTCCTCCTCCTTCTGGTCGTCCTACTCCTTCGCCTAATCGTCCATTCTTAAGGCGGACGGGGGAGGAGGAAAGGAGGAGGAGGAGGAGGAGGACGAGGAGGAGGAGGAGGAGGAGGAAGAGAAAGAGGAAAAGGAAGAGGAGGAGGAGGAGGAGGAGGAGGAGGAGCAGGAGGAGGATGAGCAGCAGGAGGAGGAGGAGGAATGCAGGAATGCAGTGAGAAGACTGCGTCTGCTCACAGACACAGCTCTACCAGAGACCCCTCTGGGAGGAAACCAGAAACGCTGCAGGAGACCCCTCCTGCAGGACGGACCTGCAGCCAAAACTACCCATGGACCCCAGGCACCGACAGTCGCTGCAGACTCTTGGGAGGACGGCCCACCTCCAGCTGGGCCAGGACCCGTTTCCGAAGGAGAGGCAGATCCAGAGGGCCAGGGCAAGAGGCCAGCAAGGCCCTGCCCACCCTGACGGACCCGCAGGCCCCGCACCGCCGACACCAGACGATCGTACCCGTGACGGAAAAGAGCCGTGGCCCTCGGGCGCCAAAGTTCTCGAAGGCGGCCTCACCACGGGCCCCCGCGGGCCAGAGCACCCTCCACGAGGGCCGCCGCCCCGCCCTCACGGGGCAGGGCCGGGGCGCCCCAGAGACGTCTCCGACCCCACCCCCGCAGAGCAGAGGGCCCCAGCCTCGCCCCGATAAGGCAGGCGGGGGGGAGGAGGAGGAGGAGGAGGAGGAGGAGGAGGAGGAGGAGGAGGAGGAGGAGGAGGAGGAGGAGGAGGAGAAGGAGGAGGAGGAGGAGGAGGGGGGGGAGGGGGGGGAGGAGGGAGGAGGAGGAGGGAGTGAGGGAGGCGGAGGGAGGCGGAGGGAGGAGGCGGAGGGGGAGGAGGTGGAGGAGGAGGAGGAGGAGGAGGAGGAGGAGGAGGAGGAGGAGGAGAGGAGGAGGAGGAGGGAGGCGGAGGAGGAGGAGGAGGAGGAGGAGGAGGGGGGGGGGGGGAAGGGGGGAGGGGGGGGGAAAGGGGGGGGGAGGGAGGAGGAGGAGGAGCAACCGGCCGCAGCCGCCCCGAGCCTCGCGGCAGCAGGAGCAACGCCGCACGAGGCACCTACGGAGTCCCCAGCCGGCCCCGCGGCCCGACGTCCCAGGGGGAGCCTCGGCGGGGGCTGCCGGCGTGGGCCACGAGAAGCAGTGCTTGAGTCTCGGAGAGCACCGAGGGGTGGCAGAGCCTCGGGAGGAGGACGAGAGGCAGGACGGGGAGGGGAAGGACGGTGAGGCCCTCGTCGTCGGCGCCCGCGTCGCGGGCCAGCGATTCGCTTCCCAATACTCGCCTTGCGGGGCTCCTCCTCCCGGCGGAAAATGCCCCCCTGGCCGACCTGTCCTGCACGACAGGGGAATGTTAAGCACGTTAGCAAGAGGATTCCAACATAGATCGACACATGATTCGCCGAGGACGTTGCTCACAATCTCCTCCTTCATATCGCTGTGCTTTTTAAAAAGACCATACTATACGCTGATACATATACAACATACATCCACATCGTCAGCGTTGGCGCCCTCAGCGAGGCCCACCGATGAGTTTCCCACTATTGTTTGCCGTGCTGGAGAATGTCAGTTTTCTCCCAACGTACAATGCTCCCTGGGCGACCCTGCATGACATAATACCTTGGAGCACGCTTCTATAATAGTTGCATTATAGATGGTCACCGTCGTCGAGGAGGCTAGGATTTTCGTTGAGAAGGCTCTCGTAGTCGTCGTCGTCGTCGTCGTCGTCGTCGTCGTCGTCGTAGTCGTAATCGTACTCGTAGGTAGTAGTAGTAGTAGTAGTAGTAGTAGTAGTAGTAGTAGTAGTAGTAGTAGTAGTAGTAGTAGTAGTAGTAGTAGTAGTAGTAGTAGTAGTAGTAGTAGTAGTAGCAGTAGTAGTAGTAGTAGTAGCTCAGTAGTAGTTGTTGTAGTAGTAGTAATAATAAATTAAATAATAGCGTAGTCGTAGTAGTAGTTAGTAGTAGGTCGTAGTAGTAGTAGTAGTAGTAGTAGTAGTAGTAGAGTAGTCTAGTAGTAGTCTAGTATTAGTCGTGTAGTAGTAGTAGAGTAGTAGAAGTTTAGTCAGTAGTTAGTAGTAGTAGTAGTTAGTAGTAGTTGTAGTTGTTAGTAGTAGTTGTAGTGGAGAGTTTTAAGTAGTAGTAGTTAGTAGTAGTTCGTTACTAGTAGTTGTAGTAGTAAAGTAGTAGTTGTAGTAGTAGCAAGCCAGTTATTTAGCAGTTAGCAGTAGCAGTTGTAGTAGTAGTTAGTAGTATTAGTAGTCGTAGTCGTAAGTCGATAGTTCATAGTCGTAGTCGTAGTCGTAGTGTAGTCGTAGTCGTAGTCGTGTCTTGTCGTTTAGTGTAGTATGGTAGTAGTTGTAGTAGTAGTAGTAGTAGCAGTAGTAGTAGTAGTAGTAGTAGTAGGGGTGCACATGGTCTTCGTGTCGCTACAAACCTCACCTTCGTGTACTCTTCTTTTGTATCAGGCCTAATAGAACCCCTACAGGGGGAATTACGAAAACCGTAGTTTCAAACCTTGCCTTCGTGTCCTTCGCGCCAATGCCTACCTTCGTGCACTATTCGCTGTAGACTGTAGATAGGATTCGCATTAGAAAGTGAACAAAAAACGGAATTTTACACCTGTCCTTCGTGTCGACGTCGAATTTGGAGCAACCGCCACTGCCAGCCGCTTCATTTCGGCACAACCCTCTCGAGGATCGTGGGCCTGGCCCTCCGACGCGCGATTCCGGCGCGCACTTCACTAGGATCGTGGCCCTGGTCCAATTGGGAGCGCTGCCGAAGGCCCACCGACGTCCAATTCCGGCACGCCGCTCACGAGGATCGTGTCCTGGCCCACCTGGGAGCGCTGCCGACGGCCCACCGATGAGCAATATCGGCGCACCCCTCACACGGATCGTACACCTCGCCACATTTGGATAGCCGCCCGACGCTGAAGTTCGGCACACCTCTCACATGGATCGTGGCCCGGGCCCACTGTGGAGCGCTGCCGACGGCCCACCGACGCCCAATGCGGGAACACCCCTCACGAGGATCGTGGCCCTCTGGTCCACTTGAGAGTGGGTTTTCATAAGGACGTCGTTCTGGTTTTATTCGGGAGCGCATTCTGGTTTTATTCGTTTCTGGTTCGTGATGGTTAGGAGGAAGAAGAGGAAGAGGAGGAGGAGGAGGAGAAGGAGGAAAAGGAGGGGGAGGAGGAGGAGGAGGGGGAAAAGGAGGATGAGGAAGAGGAAAGCGAGCAGGAACAGAGGAACGTTGTGTTCTCGTCTTCCACAATGGGTTTGCGAACCTCACCTTCGTGTACTATTGGCTCTATAGCCCCTGCATTGTTTCTCTTACGAGCGAACGGCGAAATTGTGGGTTTCCGAACCCCTTGTTCGTGTACTATTAGAATCAATGGGCTTCCGAACCTCATCTTCGTGTACTATGAGGTCTATAGCTATTGTTTTCCTATCAGCGAATGGCGAAATTATGGGTTTCCGAACTTCTGCTTCGTGTACGATTAAAACCAAATATTTTACGTTATTCGATTTGGTTTTATATGACTGTGTCGAACCCGAACCCAAATCCGAACCCGGCCCCCTAACCCTTACCCTTACCCATTCATTCTTAGCAGACACGAAGGTGAAGTTTGACCCTAGTAGTAGTAGTAGTAGTAGTAGTAGTAGTAGTAGTAGTAGTAGTAGCAGTAGCAGTAGCAGTAGTAAAAGTAGTAGTAGTAGTAGTAGTAGTAGTAGTAGAAGTAGTAGTAGTAGTAGTAGTAGTAGTAGTAGTAGTATTAGTGAAAGTAGTAGTAGTAGTAGTAGTAGTAGTTGTAGTACTGGTAGTATCAGTAGTAGTAGTAGCAGTAGTAGTAGTAGTAGTAGTAGTAGTAGTAGTAGTATTAGTGCTAGTAGTAGTAGTAGTAGTAGTAATGGTGGTAGTGGTAGTAGTAGTAGTAGTAGTAGTAGTAGTCGTAGTAGTAGTAGTAGTAGTAGTAGTAGTAGCCGTCGTAGCAGTCGTAGTCGTAGTAGAAATCGTAATTACTGGAAGTAGTAGTCGTAGTAGTAGTAGTAGTAGTAGTAGTAGTAGTACTAGCAGTAGTAGTAGTAGTAGTTGTAGTAGTCGTAGTCGTAGTCGTAGTAGAAGTAGTAGTAGTAGTACTAGCAGTAGTAGTAGCAGTAGTAGAAGTAGTAGTAGTCGTAGTAGTAGTAGTAGTAGTAGTAGCAGTAGTAGTGGTAGTCGTAGTAGTAGTAGTAGTAGTAGTAGTAGTAGTCATACTAGTAGTGGTAGTAGTAGTAGTAGTAGTAGTAGTAGTAGTAGTAGTAGTACTAGCAGTAGTAGTACTAATAGTAATGGTGAGAGTACTGGTAATCGTAGTCGTGACAATAAAATTAATAGGAATAGTGGGAGTGATAGTAGTAGTAGTAGTAGTAGTAGTAGTCGTAGTAGTAATGGTAGTGGTGGTAGTGGTAGTAGATGTAGTAGTCGCAGTAGTAGTAGTAGTAGTAGTAGCAGTAGTTGAATTAGTAGTAGTAACAGTAGTGGTAGTATTCGTTGAAGTAGTAGTAGTAATAAGCGTAGTGGTAGTGTAGTGGTAGTGACAGTAGAAGCAGCAACACTAGTAGTAGCAGTAGTAGTAGTTGCAGTAGTAGTAGTAGTAGTAGTAGTAGTGGTAGTAGTAGTAGTAGTAGTAGTAGTAGTATTCGTAGTGGTGATAGTGGTGGTAGAAACAGTAGTAGTAAAGTTGTAATAGTAGTAGTAGTAGTAGTCGTAGTAGTAGTAGTAGTAGTAGTAGTCGTCGTCGAAATAGTAGTAATACTAGTGTTATTAGTATTAGTGGTAGTAGTAGTAGTAGTAGTAGTAGTAGTAGTAGTAATAGTAGCCGTAGTAGTAGTCATAGTAGTATTAGTACTGGTCATAAGATCAGTAATAGTAGTATTAGTAGTAGTAGTCGTCGTCGTAGTCGTAGTCGTAGTAGTGGTGGCCATAATCGTCGTCGTATTATTCCTAGCAGTCGTAGTCGTATTTGTTGTCGTGATAGAAGTTGCGGCCGCTAACTACTCGTAGTCGTAGTCGTAGTCGTAGCAGTAGTCGTATCGTTGTCGTCGTCGTTGTTGTGCGGCGGGCACCGCGGATAAACAATTACTTCCCACGATTTATTGGCGGGGCCCCAAGCCGTAACTGAGGTCGCCGAAAAGACAACTAGCTTCCGACTGCATATTGGGGGGATTCCAAAGACCTGCTCATGCTACTCGGGTAGGGAGCCCACGAAGGACAGACGCGCCCAGCGACGTGCATGCATACGCCGAGGCCTGCCTCACATCACGGACTTTCGCACAACGCGTGCTCTCGAGAACCCGCGTGAACGCATGCACGCGCACGTCCTCTCGCCGCTCCTGGGGAAGGGGTAGGCCCGACACGTATCTGGGAGCCCCTCCCCGCTCCCTGCGGGGCACGCGCCCACTGGAAGCGGGCACCCCACTGGCAGCCGAGCTCCCTGCCTGGAAAGACGCGCTGCGAGCAACGCTTCGGCCCTCCAGTGTGCTCGCTGGCATGCCAGTGCTTGCTTCCCAAAATATGGCCGCCTTCGGCGATTCACGTTGTTTCCAAAAATCGGGGACGCACTGACCCGGGTCAATGCAAACCCAGGTTGGTCGTACTTTGCAAGATCATGCAAAACCCTGCAAGATCCTGCGCACTAGCCCGGGTCAATGCAGCCCTGGCCTTGCAGGACCCTGCAAGATCCGGCGCTCTGCCTGACCCCCGTGTGCATTGACCCCCCCGACATAACATGTGCTTTTCCCACCCATCATGTGGTGGTGGGTCCTTGGCTTGAAGAGACAGCGCCCCGCGTCCTCTCTTCTTCTCATCCTCTCCTCTACTCCTCCCCCTTCTCCCCGCCTTCCCTCCTACCATACGGTTCGTGGCCCCATAGGGGGCTCCACCGAAGGCCCCAGCGGGTCCGCATGCGCCCGACGCTCAGTGTGGCGCACACCTCACATTGTTGGGCCCTTCTCCAGCATAATTTCTCTCGGTGCGTCCTCGGGAGAGCTCGCTACGGGCCGGAGGCAAGGCGGGCTGACAACAGAAGGGTCGCCGTGGGGATCCCGCCTGCCTCGTGCCGAATCGCGGGGAGGGGTTCTCCTCCCACCCCTCCACATCCTCCTCCTCCTCTTTTCTCCTCCTCCTCTTTCTCCTCCTCCTCTTCCGCCTTTTCCTGTTTCTCCTCCTCCTCCTTCTCCTCCTCACCCCCATGGCCCCAACTGTCTGTGCAGACTTCGACGGTAAACGACAGCACCGTGGGGCTGTCAGCGGCGACCCTGAGACATCCGAAGCTGCCCGAAGGCACCGGGACGCCTGCTGGACGCGCCCAGAGGCTGGCGACGGGCGAAGTCCAACGAGGCAGCCAAGAGTGGAGGCACGCGATCAGCACGCCAACACAAGGCGGTGCCAGACAAGCGACCAGGGCCCCCACATATCCTGATACACGACGTGTCCCCCCCCCCCCTTACTGAAGGGGCCACAGGACACACAAATAAATACACACAAATAAAAAGATCCCCCATATTTTCCCATACTTTCTGGGTTTCTGTCTTCCCGCCCACTTCCCATATTTTCCCATATTTTCTGGAGAATCGAGGATTCATTGTGTCTGTGTGTTTTTTCCCCTCCTGACTTACATCCGCGTGGCCGAGCCCCGACCTCCGACCTCCCGGCCGGCCGGCTCCTGCTCCTGCTCCTGCTCCTGTCGCGCTTCCGGTGCGCCTTCTCGGAAGCCTTTCGGTTGGCCTCCCCGGCTCGCCGTCTGAGGAAGGAAATGGATAAGGGCTCCCAACTTCGCGCTTCGCGCTGCGCGAAGTGCGAATAACTTCGCGCTCTCGCGCCGCCTCCCAGGGGAGAAGAGGAGGACGAGGAGGAATCGGCGCCGAACCGCGAAGCGCGAATAGCTTCGCGCCCTCGAGGGCGCCCTTGAATGGACAACGAGGAGACGGGAGAACAGCGCCAGAACGAGCAGGAAGAGCAAGAAGAGGAGAGGAGCTGCTTACGAGCTCCCCGGGGGGCCCAGGTGCACGCTAGGATCCGCGGGGCCGCCTTCACCCGTACAAGCGACTGTGGCATGGCCTTAGGTCGGGCATGTCCCCCTACAGGCGGATTTCGGGCATTTGCAACATCATCCACAAACATTCAAAAATCGTAGGAAAACCGTCCCCAGGCTATTTTTCTACCATTTGTGAATAGTCCCCCTGCAGGGCGACACGCCCGACTTCAGCATAGCCTCGCGCCCTCCGTCCGTGCGGCCTGCAGGGATGCCACGCCTCGGGGGCACGGCCTGTGCGCGAACGCCTCGGCCGCAGCGCTCGGGCCGCCCCGTCACTGCCTGGCGCGACGAGGAAGGGAACAAACACATTTTACAGCGGGGCAGAGGGGAGAAAAACGGCGGAGGAGGGCGGCGAAAAGACCCGGCGGGGCAGAAGAGAGGGACGGAGAGGGATGGGGGAGGGTAGAGAGGGGGAGCAGCAGGGGGAGAGGGAGGTAACGAGAAGCGGAGGGGGCGACGGGGAGGAGGGGAGGGATGGAGGGGGGGGGGGGAATGAGGGGGGGGGAAGGGGAAAGCAGGGAGGAGGGAGGGAAGCGGAGGACGGGGCAGACAGGCAACGAGGGGAGCGCCGGGGTCAGGAGAGAGGGCAGGATTAGCAGCAGCCAGAGGGAAAGAGAACACGATATATATCTATACACATGTATTCACATGGAATAGAACCACGCAAGCGCTTCGCGCGCGCTTAGGTTCTTTTGCGCACCCACCCCGTCCAAAACGCCTCCTGGTGGTATGCGCTCGCCGACCCCAACCTTGCCCTTTATGCGGTGCCGCGCTGCTTCTCTCACGACACCGTCAGCCCTCCCATGCCCCCCAGTCCTTTTCATCCTCGCCTCTCATTGCTCGTCCTGTAACTCTTGTCCCTCCGCCCATGGTCAACCAGACTCATCATTATCCTCCTCATCATCACGACCATTGGTATCACCTGTTGCTTAGATAGTTTCCGTCTCTGTCCTCCCTCACCGCTTTCCTGTCGTTCCGCCGCATCCTTCGCGCCATCCTCCTCCACTCCTTTAGATCCTGCACCGAATTTGCTGATCCTCCTCCTCCTCCTCCTCCTCCTCCTCCTCCTCCTCCTCCTCCTCCTCCTCCTCCTCCTCCTCCTCCTCCTCCTCCTCCTCCTCCCATGTCGCCCACCCTCGTTGATTCGTTCACCTCTACCACTGCACCAAGAGTCCTCCACTGCGCTTGATCGGACCCCTCCCAGAGCCTTGTCCTTCTCGACGTTGCTTCGCCTCGAGTCTTTGTGGGCGGCCTCGGACTTCTTGTCTTTCTCCTGGTTGGGCTGGCACTTGCACATGCCGCTGCTGCCACTGCTAGTCAGCCCCCCTGCCCCCCGGCTCCGGCCGCCCTCCCCTCGGCGCCACTCACCGCTGGAGCGGCAGATGGGGCCCTCCGAGGTCGTCGCCTCCTTGAGCGCTGCAGCCGCGAGGTTCCTCCTCCTCCTCCTCCTCCTCCTCCCTCCTCCTCCTCTCCTCCTCTCCTCCTCCTCCTCCTCCTCCTCTCCTCGTCCTCCTCCTCCTCCTCCTCCTCCTCCTCCTCCTCCTCCTCCTCCTCCTCCTCATCCCCCTCCTCCTCCTCATCGGCACGGGCGATGGCCGAGCCCCGCCTGGCGGCGCGAACGCCGCGTGGCCTGGAGCGTCAGCCGCGCCGCCCGGCCGCCACACCCCTGCACGGCCCGCCCCGAGCCGGCGCCTCCGCCCACGCCCGAAGCCGGGCCGCTGCCGACGAGGCGCACGGCGACCTCCACCAGGTGAGCGCTAGGCTTAACCCCAGGAAGCATTTAAGAACCCCCCCGGCGATATCTTAGCACCGCATTTTTATTCGATATTCCGAGGGGCCGAAATAACCGCACGATAGGTTTAGCACCCGCACAGAGGAGGAGGAGGAGGAGGATGAGGAGGAGGAGGAGGAGGGCTCCTGGTGCCAGGTAACGCTTCCAGGGTGCGGAAGGGTTATCGATTTGCCGGAAGGGGGGGGGGGGTTCTAAAATGCTTCCTGGGGTTATGCTGCTCCCAGCGTACTTGAGAGCCACATGCCAGGCATTATTCCGAGCACCCGGAAGAGTGCCGAAGGAGTGTCGAAACGAGTGTCGAAACGAGTGCCTCCCAGGGCCAGGCACGTGGAAGCTCTCACGTTTTCGGGTACTTGGCTGGTGCTCGAAATTCTTCCTGGTGGTCGAGGCTAAAGTAGGTTGGAACATCATAACGTTAGTCGGCGGCAGCCGAGGGGAGGGGAAGTGAGGGGGGGGGGAACCGAGGCTTCGCGCTGCGCGACTCTAGGAGGCCACATGCGAGCCCTGCCCCACCCCCCCACCCCGATTTCTGAGGAGGGATGCGGGGTTCACTTCTTCGATCGATCGGGACCTCCTCCCTGCTGAGATATCGTGTGTGTGTGTGTGTGTGGGGGGGGGGGGGGGGGGGGGGGGTCGGGTTCGCCTGTGGCCTTCTGGATACGCGGATCCCTTGGCACTACCGCGCCGCTCCCGGGGGTCGGGCGCACGCCATCATGGGCCAGGGCTCCGGGGATCTGGCGCGCGGGCGCCAGGCCCACGGAGCGGGGGAAGCATCCGTCCAGCCATGAGGCCAGCGCCGCTGTTGATTTGGCGACGGAGCGCGCGGACTTCGCATGAGATCGGGGCCCGTCGCTGATCCGCGCGCCCCGATCCATGTTGGCGCGCCCTTGACGGGGGAGATACGAGATACGAGATACGGATCCCCTTGCGCGGTGCGGCCCCGGCGAGGCTGGGGATGACTGCGCCGTGGCGCGGAAGAGCATGCCCGCCTTCTGGATCTCGATCTCCACGCCCCTTCTGAACCCACACTCTCACACCGCATTAGCAGTGCCACCCTTGACAGGGGGAGAAGAGCAGGACGAAGGAGGCGGCTGCGCGCCCACGTGGCGGCCACTGGTCTCTTTCCCCACCGCGCCCGTCCTCCCGCCCGCGGCATCGCTCGGTCGTGGACTCACCAGCCTGTCCCAGGTGGTGCCTGCGATACCGCGGCAACCGAACGCCGGTCGGATTTGGGGCGTGCTCGAAACGAGCCCTGCTCCTCCTCCTCCTCCTCCTCCTCCTCCTCCTCCTCCTCCTCCTCCCCCCCTCCCTCCTCCTCCTCCTCCTCCTCCTCCTCCTCCTCCTCCTCCTCCTCCTCATCATCATCATCATCATCATCATCATCATCATCAACATCATCATCATCATCATCCTCTCCCTCCTCCTGTCGAGCTCTGCCGGGGAAGGAACTCCTGGCCGGGCGCGCCCGCGCATCGCTCCCCGAGGGCGCGCGCGGGCGTGCACGATCAGGGCGGGAACCGAAGGAGAGACGACGTGCACGCGAACCCTCGGAGTCCCGCGCGGGCTCATCGGGTCGGCGCTGGAGGTCCCTCTCCATGGCGCGCGGAGCGCGCCAGGAGTGGCGCAGGAGGCGTCGCCAGAGGGGCCCCGCGACGATACCAGTGGGGCCACTTCGCGCGGGCCTCTGGAAGTTTGTGCTTATGCTGATCTGCCCTTCCTCGAACGAGCGGCCGAAACGATAGGGGAGACCAGCTCATAATCTGAAACTGGAACATACACATTACCAGTGGCGGGCTGCCTTTCAGGACTTTCTGATGGTCGGTGACGACGTCGGGGTGGTGTGGTGTGTGCTCTTTTCCCCGTTTTTTTTTTTTTTTTTTTTTTTTTTTTTTTTTTTTTTTTTTTTTTTTTTTTTTTTTTTTCTTTTTCTCTGGGGAAGAAACGATACATGTATGCACCAATATTCCGTGTACACCAGGATCCGCTCTCCTGTGCGAGTTTCAGCGCGAGGATCCGCTCTCCTGTGGTGTATGGAGTTCGGCTCCTTTCGGCGATGGACAAACCTCTCTTTAGTAAGCCTCCTTCTATCTAGTGCAAACGGCCTGGGACCGAAACCGACGGACCTGGACCCGCAAAAGTGACGGCCGCGACGCCCCCTCGCGAACCGAAAACGGCCGATTCCTTCGTCGACGTGTCAGGGTAGGAGGTCTATCCACTTCCGATCCCCACAGACGGGCGTGGGGGGTAAGGAACCGAACTCTATACGCCACCGCTTTTTCCGGCCCTGCACTGAAACTCTCACAAGAGACCGGATCCTGGTGTATACGGAGTCCTGGTGTATACATGTTTCTGTGTTTCCCTGGGGAAGCGGGGAAGAAGTATACACCACACCACCCCGACGTCGTCCCCGACCCTCCAAAAAGCCTCGGGATTGAAACACCGCCCGCCACTGGCAATGTATACGCTCCAGCTTCCGAGGACGGCCGCGACGCCCTCTCGCGAATATCGACGTGCCGGGGTAGGAGGCCTGTCCACCTCCGATCCTGCACGGTGCTGCTGGGCGGGGTCGAGCGGCGCCCGCACGGTGCTGCTGGGCGGGGTCGAGCGGCGAGGTCCCCGGGCAAAGGGCGCCTCCGTGGGGCGAGCGTGCGGGGAGCCCAGCGGCGGCAGGAGAAGTCCACGCGTGAGGAGCCGGACTCCATCTACGCCCCCTGAGATCCTTCAGTTCGGCGATCTGGCCCCGGAGCATCTCCATGGCGACCAGGGAGGCGAGGATTCCTGAACTGCTGGATTTCGGTCTACCAGGGCACCGAAGTCCAGCAGTTCAGTAATCCTCGCCTCCCCAGTCGCCATGGAGAGGCTCAGGGGCCGGATCGCTGAACTGAAGGATCTCAGGGGGCGTATCCATACACCGACGCTTCTTCCAGCCTCGCACCGGAACTTGCACAGGACAGCGGATCCTGGTGCATACGGGATGCTGGCGTATACATGTCTCGCTGTTTCCCGGGGGAAACCGGGGACAGACATACACACCACAGCACTCCGACGTGGCCTCGACACTCTCAAAAAACCCATGGATTGAGGAACAGCCCGCCACTGGCAATGTGGATGCTCAAATTTCCGAACGTGGAACTCCCAATGCTTCGGCAATAGAAGAGGTCCAACCCCGATCCGTGAGATCCGCGCGAACCTTCGAAAGCTTATGGTTATGCGGTTGTTCCTTCTTCGGAAGAAGACCACCGGAGGCGGACGAGGCGCATGACACGACGCCACAGCGCCGACTGGGAGGATTCATGAGAAGTGCTTCACATTTTGGCGCACTGATGACAATGGCAAGTACCCCAGGTCAATGGGACCCACCGCCGGAGTGGGCGTGCGGCTGGGCGCAGGGATTGGGAACTTCCTGCTCGGAGTCGAGCTGCGAGGCTCCTGCGCGGCCTCGCAAGCAAGACGGAGAGCGCAGCAGTGCTGGACGTCGCCATGACGACGAGGCCACGGGGTAACCACGTGCGTTGTTACGGCATGCTGCCTGAAGCAGGTGAGCGGCGGGCCTCTCCGAGAGCAGCTAGGAGAGCAAGAGGCTCTGGAGCCAACGTGGTTACGGATCCTCCGTGATACGTTCAAGCAGCACTCCGTTTGGGGGAACACCCTAGACGCACGACGCAGAGACCACTCGAGTGACACGCTGTATGCAAACGCTGGCATTCGCGCAGTCGCTCAGGCGGATGTTGAAAGAAAACTGAATAATAGCACGCAAAAGGCCCAACGATAGCCAGAAAGGAATTCAAATCAACCGTCCGCATAATGTTTTGTGACTGTTATTGAATATTCCTCCTGTAGAGGAACCTGCCAGACTTACACCTAAGATCGCCCAGGAGAGCTCGGCGGCTGGCACAAAGGGGGGTGGCGCGAGGGGGGGGGCCTCCTATGAGGCGGCCCTCAAGGAGGTGGAGGGGAGGCTTCTCCTCTAAGAAGGAAGGAGCCTTTCGTAGAATGGCCGCAGCCGTCCAGGAAACCAAAAAGGCCCGCAGCTCCACGCTCGAATGGGGGGGAGGAGAAACCTGTTACATCACAGTCAACCCGTATCACAAGGACGCACGATGAGGATGCAAGGGCCTTGGAAGGCCGTTTCGAGGCTGTTCGAGTGGGGCACGGTCAGCGAAAGCGGCCAAGGATGGGCCGAAGTGGCAAAATTGGAAAGATCCCGCTAGTAAGATCGCCCATACTTGCCGTGCGGGTTGGCTGTAAATGCTCTTCGGGAATGCGCGATGTTGCGATACGTGTTGCAATTGACCCCTCCCTCCAAATTCCCTCTTCAAGGTCCCTGCAAGAAAACTCAATGCTGGAACTGCCCCGTTGGAGGAAAACCATCCGAAAATCCTACAACGCGCCAGAACACCATTCTTGAGACTTCAGCGCCACGAATCAACGTGATTGTTGCGTCCTGGCGATCTGGAATCGAGCCACAACAACACACCTGGGACTGGAACACCGCGACACATCGAGCCAGACAACTGCCGCGCTCTGGCAATCCGACATCGTGCCAAACCACCACGTCTGAGACGTCGACCACAAACATCCTACAAACTGCTCCGACCTCTTAAAACACATGTGCGCGGCGGCACGGCGAGAACCACATGCTGAAACGGAATCGCCCTCCATACGTGAAAACCGTTGCAAGCCCTTGCAAGCCTTTGAAGCGAATGTGCAAGGCGCCGAGGCGAAGACCAGATGCTGAAAGCCAGCCCGATCCCCATCCGTGGAAATCCTTGAAGACACTGGAACGAACGTGCGCGGCGCCACCAAAAAAAAACGCAGACCACGTCATGAAACCCGCCCACCCTCCATCCGTGAAGCTGTTGCGCAGACTTCTACCAGCCTGGAACATATCCCTATCCCTAGGCTGGGCACCTCCTCATCACGATGCCAAGCTTATGGATTCCCTTATTCTTTGAGGGCGCATCCCTAAGATTGTCATCGCCTTTTGGCGTGTCAATCTTAGGGATAGGGATACGTTCGAGGCTGGTAAGACTTGCGGAGCGAGTGTGCGCAGTGCTGGAGCGAGAGCCACGTTTTGCACACCGCCACCGTCCCCGCCTCCCGCGCGTGAGCTCCTGCACCTCTCGGTGCGAGCGCGCGCGGCACTAGTTACCAGCCTCGAACGTATCCCTATCCCTAAGATTGACACGCCGAAAGGCGATGACAATCTTAGGGGTTCGCCCTCAAAACATCAGGAAATCCCTAAGATTGGCATCGTGATGAGGAGGTGCCCAGCATAGGGATAGGGCTATGCTCCAGGCTGGTAACCTAGAACGGGCATCGCATGCTCAGAAAAAGGAGCCGCCCTCCGCCCGTGCAGCTTTCTGCCAAGCGACTGCCATCGAACGTGCGCGGCGCGCTGACGCGGCGACGGCCACGATTTTCGGACGCCGCCCGCCCTCCACTCGCGAAACACAAGACGAGAGCGTGCGCGGCGCGGAGCTCGCCATCGCTCGGACGTCCATTCCCTGTGCTGTTTTTTTTTGGCTTCGTGCGTGGATGTTTCGCCAAATGATCGAGAATGCTCCTCGATGGTCCTCGCCGAAGGAGAAATGCACACGTCCGAGCGAGGCCAAGTGAGGATGAAGGGGAACTGGAACACACAAATAAATAGACACAAATAAAATAATCCCCCATATTTTCGCATATTTTCTGGGTTGTTGTCTTCCCCCCCCACTTCCCATGTTTTCCCATATTTTCCTGGAAATCGACAAATAATTGTGTCTGTGTGTTTTTCCCCCTCCTGAGAGGAGATAAGCACGTGCTGAAGAGCGCCCGCCCTCCGCCCGTGAAACGCTTGCAACCTTTCTGAGCTCTGGGGACAAAACCGTTGCGGGGGCGTCTCCAGCGAAACGCCCGGCCCGCCCTGCCGACACCTCTCGGGGGGTGCGACGGGGGGACGTCTTTAGGAGAAGGAAGGATAGAGGAGGCGGAGGAAGAGACGGACGAGCCGGAGGAGGAGGGAGAGGGAGGAGCAGAACGAGGAGGAGGAAGGGAAGGAGGACGACGAGGCGGAGGAGGAGGGGGGGGGGAAGAAGAGGGAGGAGGAGGAGTGCAAGGGGGAGATGGGAGAGGCGGAGGAACAGAGTCGGAAGGGCCCAGTCTCTCTTGGGAGCCACGCTGCGCACAAACGCCCGGGACCACTGCAGGGGGCGGCGCCGATCCTTCGCGGGTTCCTTCTCCCTTCTGTCAGGGGTCTCGGCCTGTAGCGCATGCCGGCAGGGCGCGAGCATCGGGGGATCCTGGCATCCTCTCGTGGTAGTCGTCGTCGTCGTCCTCGTCGTCGCGTCGTACTCGTCGTCGTGGTACTGGTCGTACTCGTCGTCGTCGTCGTGGTTGTCGTCGTCGTCCACGTCGTCGTCGTCGGCGTGGGCGTGGGCGTGGGCGTGGGCGTGAGCGTGGGGGTGACCGTGGGCGTGGGCGTGTGCGCGGGCGTGGGCGTGGGCGTGGGCGTTGGCGTCGGCGTCGGCATCGGCGTCGGCGTCGGCGTCGGCGGCGTCGGCGTCGTCGTCGTCGTCGGCGTCGGCGTCGGCGTCGTCGACGTCGTCGTGGACGAAGTCGTGGGCGTGGGCGTGGGCGTTGGCGTGGGCGTGGTCGTGGGCGTGAGCGTCGTCGTCGTCGTCGTAGTCGTCGTCGTCGTCGTCGTCGTCGTCGTCGTCGTCGTCGTCGTCGTCGTCGTCGTCGTGGTCGTCGTCGTACGTTTTGAATGTTGTCTGCCTCCGGGGGCCCTCACACGGCCGAAGGGCCGTCAGAAACGACTCGGAGCGAAGAGCTGGTTCCGGGGAGGGCGTCCACGCTTCTGGGGAGCCACGTGGCGAACAGCACAACGGCAGATGTTCGGATTGTGGCAAGCGTGGGGCTCAGGGAAGGCAGCGGAAGAATGCTCTCGGGCCTGCACGCGCCGGGGCCCTGCAGAGGCGGAGGCGGAGCGGCACCACTCCAGCTCGGTCACGCCGAGCAGGAACTGGCAGGACTACTCAATAGAAGGGGCTGCCCTCCAAAAAATAGCCTGGCGAAAGACGCAACCATGTGCGACTGTGCGTCCCGCAGTTGTGGGCATCGTTTTCAGTGGAGTTCCCTGTGGGGCCACGTATCGCTATACTGAATGGGGGAGGCACATGCGAACTTTGCAATTGGGGCTGTCGGTGGAGCTCCCTGTGGGGCCACGAAGCGCCGTAGAGGGTGGGGGAGACGCATGCAAATTTTGCCACTGGGGCCGTCGGTGGGGTTCCGTATGGGACCACAAAGCCTTGTACTCGGTGCGGGGAGAAGCATGCGGACGGTGCCCTTGGGGCCTTCTGGGAGCTTCCTATGGGGCCACGAAGAGCTGTAACCTGGGTGGGGGTGACGCATGCGGCCGGTGCAACTGTGGCCTTCGGTGGAGCTCCGATTGGAGCCACGAAGCGCTGTACTGGGCGGGGGAGACGCATGCGAACACCGCCACTGGGGCCTTCGGTGGAGCTCCCCGTGGGGCCACGAAGCGCTGTCCTGGGTGGGGGAGACGAGTGCGCGCATGCGAGCGCCGCCCCTGGGGCCTTTGGTGGAGCGCCGTACGGGGCCACGAAAAGCTGTATTGGGCGGGGGAAACGCATGCGAACACCGCCGCTGGGGCCTTCGGTGGAGCATCCTATGGGGCTACGACGCGCTGTGCTGGGCGGGGGAGACGCTTGCGAACACCGCCACTGAGGCTTTCGGTGGAGCTCCCCTATGGGGCCCCGAAGCGCTGTAACTTGGGTGAGGGAGACGCATCTGAACACCGCCAATAAGGGACTTCGGTGGAACTCCCTAGGGGGCCACGAATAAACCGTACTGGGTGGGAGAGACGCATGCAAACTTTGCCACTGGGGCCGTCGGTGGGGCTCCTTGTGGGGCCACAAAGCGCTGTACCCTGGGTGGGGGATACGCGTGCGAGCCCCGCCACCGAGGCCGCCAGTTGAGCCCTCAAGCTCCCCACGGGGGGGGGGGGCGCGAAACAACCACGACGATGATGAGGGCGACGGCGACGATGAAGATGACGACGACGATGACGATGATGATGCTGATGATGATGATGATGAGGATGATGACGGTGATGATGACGGTGACGAAAAGACGATGATGGTGATGATGCTGATGGTGGTGTTGATGATGGCGATGGCGGTCATGGAAGGAGGGGCAGCGGGAAGAATGAAGGAAGGAAGAAAGCGAAGACCCAACACCACAGGATGGTTGGGGAAAAAACAGCGCTCCTGCTCTGGACGTCTTTGCTTTTTTTACCCAAGAATGGAGTTCCCGCCTTGGGTCCGCAAATCGGCCCCCCCTACAACAACGACGTTCCCGCTCGATGTCGTTTCATTGTACTCAAGACTAGCGCTCTTGCTCGCCGCCGAAAGCCGTCCTTCCAACAAAACCGGCGCTACCGCTCTTTCGCTCTCTGCTGTACCCAGGAAAACGTTGGCGTCTTGGCGCCGCAAACCAGCCTCCATACAACAGCGAGGCTCCCGCTCGAGGCCTCGTCGATCACTCTAGACTGGCGCTCTTGATCGCCGCCGAAACACATCCCTCTACAAAGAACCAGCGCCCCCACGCGATACCTACTCGCTTTTTGCCAGCGAGGATTCTCTACTTGCGGCGGTGAAGGGCGTCATGTGGAGAGGAGAAGGGGGCATAACGTAACGCCCTCCCCCCATGCCGTGTGAGTCTGACACCACCAACGATGGTCCCGGACGCACTACGGCAGTGCCAGAGACGCAATGGGGCGAGGGGGGGCGTTGCGTCATGGGGGAGGAGGATGGGGGGGCCAGGGGGTATGACGCGCGTTATGTCCATGAAGGTACAAAACGCTCCCCCGAGGAAAGGCATTCCCGCCATGGGTCCGCAAACGGGTCCCCCTACAACGACGCCGCTCCCACTCGACACGTCCTCGCGTTTTACTAGAGGCTGGCGCAGTTGCTCGCGGCCGACTACGGGCCGTCCAACAAAACCAAATTCCTGCTCGATGCTGCCTCGCTTTTTTACCCAAAAATGGCGATTCCACCCTGGGTCCAAAAAAACCGGCCCCCGTAGAACAACGAAACTCCCGCTTGATGCTTCCGCGCTTCCACCGAAAACCAGACCCTCGGGCAGTCTGCAGGTCCCTGTGGCGAGGGACTTCGGGGCTGCTCTGCACCACCAGAGCGACAGAAGGCAAGAAAAGGAGGCGCTCTGCAGTTCAGCGTTTTAGAAAGAGGGGCGAGGAAGGGGAGGAGGAAGAGGAGTAGGTGGAGGGAGAAGTGGGGCTGGTAGCCACCACCTGGCCAGCCCAGCAGCGCGAAGACCTGGACCCGACGTCATCCCGCCCTCGACCACCAAACTGGCCAAAAGGGGGCCGCCGAACCCAAGAGACTCCCTCCCCGGCCAAACAAACCAGGCGCAGCACCTGTCAGGAACTCTTCCTTGCGAAGCCAGCCACACTACCAGCCAACTTCGTGGAAGAAGTCGACCACGCACTTACAAAAAAAACTCGCCGTGGGTGAAGAAACATCGCCTTGGGAGAAGTCGGTGCTGTCACTCACGAACTGAACTCGTAAAAATAATGTCCAGCAGCCGCCCCAAACCGCCGCCCACCATGCAAAAAGGCTCCCTACCCCGATGCGCATGGTCCGATGCAAGCATTAATGTGGTTTACCACCAGGGGGGCGGCAGCAGACTGCCGCGGGAATCCCACGAGAAGACATGATCTGCCATCTACTGATTTCGTCGCCTCACTGGCGCAATCGTCACCGACGTCACAGCCTGTCACACTGCTGCCTCCAACAGCACGTGTCCACGCAGTACCAAATCCAACAGGCGTTCTGAATGACGTGCTACAGAATTTCGCTGGGAATGTGTGGCGCTCCCTTCCGCTTGGCGCCTTCCCCTCTGCCGTCGGACTCGTCCACCAACTGTTGGGTTGCCCTCTCTAAGGGGCCGCGGGAAGGGAGGCCCTCTTGGTGATGCCGGCCCTCTTCTGCAGCTCGCGTACGATGCAATCCTCGCACGTTCTTGTGGTCCGAGTGGCGAGCGAGCGATCGTGTCATCCTGCTCTTCTTGCCTTCCTTGGGCTTGGCTGGGCAACACTTGCAATGCATGATCACCTCCTGGAATTGCGCTGCGCCTTTGCCCTTGAAATACTGGTCCCGGTAGGGGAAGATCACGTCCTGGGGGCTCTTGTCACGACATTCTCTGCCGTGTCCTGGCATTTGCGCGCGACTGTACCCTTGCCCTCCTTGGGTTTGAGAGCGAAGACAGACAACTCGAGGTCCATCGTCCTTAAGAAGGTCCATCGTCCTTAAGAAGGCCAGTCGAGCATACCGGCATACACATAAATCTATCTATATATATATATACATGTTTACAAACAGGCTCACATATATATATATATATATATATATATGTATATACCGCGTTACGCATACACAAACACACACATACATACATACATACATACATACATACATACATACATACATACAGTCGGGGCGTTGACCTAAGGAACCCTAAATAAGGAACGAGGCCCCTATTTTCCATAAGTTGAACTTCGATTTCCTATCGAAAACATGAGGGGAACCTGAGGCAAGCTGTGACACACTCAAGGAACGCGGAGCCCCTCCCCAACCAAAAGGGTTCCTTCTTCAGGGCCCTGGCTGTACAGGCATAAATGTGAGTCCCCCCCTTTGCGATCTACCTGAGCCCATGTTCCTTTGAACCTTTCGACGGGCATCTATCGCTTCGAACTTCTTTTCGGGATCCTCTTTTCGAGTTCTTGCGTTAGGCCGCCATAAAAGGAGGTGTTGTGTAAGGCGGCCACGCAAGGAATCTCATTGCACGAGCTCCACACAAAGCATCCTGTTGCAAGGCCGCCAGGCCGCTCTCAACCGCCATCCGCGGAGAAAAAGAAAAAAAACAATTGGACCCACGGAAACAAAAACCGTATCAAAAACGGACCATGGACACCAACACGCGTACTGTGTTTTCATAAACTGTCTGTGATTGTCATTCGTGTTTGCTGTATGTTCATAGTGATCGTTATGTTTAATTGCGTGGTGCCGTGTTTTCCCATGGTCTATGTTGTGTTTCAACTTGGCCTTGTGTGTTCATAGATTCCGTTGGCTGCCATGGTTTATGTTGGCTGTGGTTTCATGCTCCGTTTATGGCGTTTTTTGTTTTTCGTTATGGTTGTTTTTTCCCTTGTTTTCCGACGAGGCCGCCGAATTGTGCCAGACCGCTACGAAGGAAACCCAGATTGAAAACCAATTCCATTCAGGGAATACTATTGAAGTCCGCCACAAGGGAAATCCTTACGTATGGCTGCCCCATACAAAAGAGTCCGTGTGTAAAGCAGTCACAACAAGAATCCGTTTGCGAGGCCGCCAAACCACGTTTAGCCGCCAGCTGAGGAAAACGCGGAACCCCACGAGCATCAACAAAAACAAAGACGACACAACGAAGCATACGTAAAACACACAAACGACTACGAACACATTCAAACACCACCTAACACCGCAACCATCTTGACAACACACTACATAAAAACAATTGAATGCCCAAACACCAGGGCCCACACAACAACCAAACATTTAAACACATGAAAACCTATAGCCAACTCCGCGAACAAACACTTCAAATAACACCGACGACTACACAAAACGTGTGCTGTGTATTCCTTGCATGTTTGGTGTGCTCAACGTTGTCAATATAATTTCTCCTTTCCCGTGGCTGGCGGCCGAAAGTGGGCTGGCGGCCTCGCGGCAAGGATTTGTGGGGCGGCCTGACACAATATCTTGATGTGGCAACCTTGCAATCTGATTCCTCGTACACTAAGAAGCGTTTGTGGCAGGCGCGACCGTTGAGTCCCGCGGCACGCGGATGTAAATTCGGCGGCACTCGCAAGGTAAAGGTTGAGTTGGCGGCGAGCGCGGGGGGGAAGTGAAACGGAGCGAGCATTCTCAGAAGGCTCGGAAGCCCCCAAGCCTACTGAACTGTGTTCGAAGCGTTCCTCGATGACTAAACAAAAACTAGAAGGCGCGTAGGCTTCTGAGGAAGGGGAGGTGAAGGGGTTCCCTGGGGGAGAATGAGGAGCATGAGAAAGAGGAGGAGCAGAAGGAACAGGAGGAGGAGGAAGAGGAGGAGAGGGTGGAGAGGCCGAAGGGGAGGAGGAACAGGAGGAGGGGGAAGAGGAGGAGGAGGAGGAGGAGGGAATCCGACACTTCCTTTTGTCCAAGCGTAGCGAAGCTGCCAGGCAAACTTGATAAAGGTGGGCATGCTGGAGCTCCCTCGTTTGTTTCAAATGCTCTCGGCGCTTCCCTCGGGGCCCTTTTTGGGCCTCTTTGGAGCTTCTTGGGGGCTGCTTGAGGCCTCCGGGGGGTCTCCTGGGGCGGAGATCTCTGGTTCTCGGTTCACGCTCCCGATCCTGGGCCGCGGTTGGGGACCTCTCGGGCCGTCTTGGACGTCTCTTCGGCCGTTTTGGAGCCGTCTTGGGGTCGTCTTGGGGCGATCCTCGGGGCCTCTTGGGGCGTCTTTCAGCGTCGGGAAGCTGAACATGCGGAAACGCCCAACTTGTTCTAACACCTATGGGGCATCAACGTTTTTTGGCCTCTTCGAGCTCTCTTGGGAGACCTCTTGGAAACCTCTTGGGTATCTTGGGGGCCTTCAGAGCCGTCTGGAGGCCGTCTTGGACCGTCTAGTGGCCTTCGGTCCATCCCGCCATCGTGCCTGGGTTGTGGGTTACAGGCCACTTGGAAGTTCGTTTGGATGGAGGCCTCTTGGAGGCAATTTTGGAAGCCTCTTGGGGGCCGTTTGGGGGCCTCTTCTTGGGCCTCTTGGGGGCCTCGTGGGGCCTCTGGGGGGCCTGTTCGGCTCTCTTGGGGGCCCCTTGGGGCCTCCTGGGGGCCTCCTGGGGCGGAAGGCTCGCATTATCGGTTTGTGTCCTCCCTCTTGGGCCCGTCTTGGGGCCGTTCTGGGGATCTTTGGCGTCTCTTGGGCTGTTTTGGAGCCCTCTTGGACCGTCTTAGGGCCCTTTAGGGGGCCTCTTGGGCCGTCTTGGGGCGGTCTTGGGGGGGCCTCTGGGGCCATCTTGGCGCGTCGGACGCCCGTAACGCGAGAACGCGAAACAAAACATTGAAACACATGCCTCTTCGGGCCCTTTTGGGGGTCCTCTTGGAGCGCTCTTGGGGCCTGTTTGGGGCCTCTTGGGCCGCCTTGGGGCCATCTTGGGGGCCATCTTGGGTGTCTTGGCGCGCTCTTGGGCTCCTTGGAGGCTCGTTAGGCCCTACTGGGCGCTTTCTGGGGCCCTATTGTCCTCTTTTGGCACCCCCTTGGCCTCTCCGTGCCGCCTGTGGGAAGCGAACCGGGAGGGTAACAACGAGCTTTCCCGGATGGTTGCAGACTGGGCGCCCCCAGGCCAGGGGGGTATACATACTTGTATTATGTATGTGGAATGACACGAGAGCAGATAAGAGGCAACGGTATTGAAATGATTGTTGCTGTTGTTGCTGTCGTCGTCCTCCCGCGACGCGCCCGCGACCCACCCGCGACCCACCCGCGACCCACCGCGCGACCCACCCCACTATCCACCCGCGACCCACCCACAGTGCGTTGACGAAAAATCAGCGTCTGCGGCGGGCTCGTTGCGTGATGTGCAGAACACCGGCGCCTGTGGCGGGCGCCTTCAGAGCATCGCAGAATGGAAAACAACCCCGCCGCCCACTAACTCCTGTCCGCTATCCGCACGTGCGGGGGCTGTGGCTTCTTCATCAACCCGGGAGAAGCGCGCAGACAAGCAGATCATGCCGCCCGAATGCCCGAGTGAGAGAGTGTTATGTTGCATCCTCGGAGGACCTTGTCTGTCCCGTCGCGGCCCTGTCCGCGTCGAATCCGTGTCGAATCCGTGCCGAATCCGCGTCGAACCCACGCCAAATCCGCGTCGAGCCCGCATCGAGCACGCGCCGGGCCCCCCAAAAGACATCAATTTTTGGGACAGGCGAGGTCCCCCGAAGATGCAACAGAAAGAGTGAGGGAGAGGGAGAGGGAGAGAGACGGAGATCGAGAGAGGGCGCAGGCTCGCCTCCGCGCGAGCTGCCCTGCGAGGCGGCGAGTCCGCGAAGGGGTCCCTCTTCGGCGCGGCCTTGTCCACCGAGAACTTTTCCACCTGGGGGGCGTCGGCGTCTGCGGGGGCGCCCGCGTGCGCGGAGGGCCGAAGCTCGGGGCTCGAGCCTGGTTCCTTGGATCGGCGAGGGGGCTGCCAAGGGGACGGGGAGGCTACAGGTGGAGAGTGAGGTGGGTTAGATCTGGCCAACCTTCGTGTATGGGGCTGCAGGTGCCTGCTGAGCAAGAAAAGTACCCCTAGCTCTTTGGGAGGGGACCCAAGTTCGGAGGGCCAAACAAAAATTGGGAGATGTGGTCTTCTCTGCAGATGTACCAAACCAAGCCGCCCAAAACTATGACCCCTGGTACGAGGACGGGAACCCAAGTGAGGCCACGTCGTCATCGTGTTATTCGGTTTGGTGTTTCTTGTCTAGTAATGATAAGCGGTTTATGGGGTGTTAGATAACGCCGCTAAGTGGGCGGAGCCCACTTAGGCTGGATCGCTATGCCGCACCAGTCTAGGTACAGTAGGAGATCGAACACAAGAAACCTTACACAAGAAACCCACAACTGAGACCCCAGGACATCTGTTCAGTATTGGTGTGGAAACGTCACGCTCTCCGTAGCAAACCACCGACACCCAAGACACCCAGGGCACCCTGGAGGCAAGCAGGGTACTTCTTGGCACGGGCTTCCACTGTGGGCAAACACGCATGAGCTCTACGCAACCCCTGAAGGTCAGGCTTTTCGAGCGCTGGCGGGGGTTCAGACTGAGAAGGAGTCCGATACCCCTGCGGGGGGCGCTGGCGTTAAACACGATCGCTGGCCCGCATGCGCCACTGAGCGTTGGTAGGCTCCTCGTCGTCGTGGTCTGAGCTTGCCTATACAATCGGCCCTGGGACAGAAGAACATCCTCCAAGAGCATGGGACCCTCCGCCGGCCAAACCGAAGAACCTTCAGGGGCACCCTCCCCAAGGGTGCACAGGAGCACCCGGCAGACACGATGAACGTTAGGGCACCCTCCCCGAACCGAGCTCGATCGTATGCCTCGGGCCGACTGCACTGGGCCTGTTTGAGATCGGCTGCGCCCAAGAGCAGCCATGAGAGCTCGCGGAGGCCCCGCCGAGGTGCTGCCCGGGGCGCGCTGCGGAGGGCAGCGACCAGCAGGCTGCACGGAGGGCCGAGACGAGGGCTCGAGCAACCTCGGGCGACCGCGTGTAGATCCTGCGCCGCGGCCTCGTCGTTCTCGACGTCGTCGTCGACGTCATCGTCGTCGTCGTCGTCGCTCTCGGCCGTCGCTCGCCCTCGCAAATCGTCGTCCATCATCGAACCTCTGTCGTTCATCGTTGGTCGTCCATTCTCGACGTCATCTTCCGTTCTCACACGCATCCGGAAGGCCCCGGATCGGCGGCACTGGCCGGAGGCCATTACAATCCTACGTACCCCTGCAGGCCAGACTTCTGGAACGCCCGCTGAGCTTCAGAATGTGAAAAGTGCCTGCAGCCAAGTGACCTCAGCGGGTGTGTTCGATACCCCAGCGTCGATTGGACCCGCAGGCAGGGATGGGGTTCGCAAGCGGTCGCGGATATCTGGGCCTCCGGGGCGTCCCCCGTGGCCACGGCAGCAAGCAGCTCGAAGAACTGGCCAGGATGGACCTCGGGAGAGACGCGGGGATCGGTTGCGACCAAAGTTATGAGCGAAGAGGAAGACAACGACGGCACCTCGGCTTACGCTGCAATCAGGCCTGGCCAGGGCCATCCTGGGCCCTTGAAGTGTGCGTAAGCCCTCCAGGCCCAGGCCAGGAGGGCATGTACACCATGCAAGGCCCAATGCGACCCTGGGCAGGCATGGTGGTGAAGGGTGTAGGGATGTCCTCTGCGAAAATGAGCAAATCGCTGGATGGGTATGAACAAGGAGGGTATGTCGACCCATTTGACCGCGGTGGCCCAGGTACACATAAGAGTGTGCTGCTCTGGGATGATGCCTAGACCCACTGCTTCCTCCTCAACCTCTGCAGCCTGCACAACTTGATTCGGAGTCTACTGAACCCTGAGTACCTCGGACATCATGTGAATCAGAGATCATCCTGTTGGCCTTTCATGGGGCACCTGTGCGCGCACGCACGTACACCCGGCCACACGTGCATGCGGGACCGCGTGCCCTAGGACGACGAGATCTGTACATATCCACCGCCCCTGGCCAGGCCAATGCTGGGCACAGGAGCGGTGTATACGCCCACCCGGCTTGGCCGAGAAGCACATGATAACACAACTCCTGGGTCCAGGCTGGGCCAAGCCGGGAGCAGCGGAGATGTGGAGGTGAAAAGACCTCACCGCCCGACGCCCACCGTCCCCCTCTACCCAACCCCCGCACGGGACGCGCTCTTTCGGTCCCGGCCACTCGCCCCGATGGTCGCGGGTCTTGGAAGCCACTGGCACACACACACACGCACACGGCGGTGTGGGCAACTACAAGGGAATTCCCACCCCCAGCCCCCGCAGAGGCTCAGAATCTCGCCATCGCTCGGACGTCCATTTCCCGTGCATCTTTCGGTTTCGTGCGTGTGTGTTCCCCCAGGTGACCCAAACAGCTCCCCGATGGTCCTAGCCGAGAAACAAAAAAAGCACACGCCCGAGCGATGCCGAGGCAGGCGATGGACTCCTCCTGCCGGGCGACCCCCCACGGGGGTGTCCGAGGCCCCGGGCGCCGAGAAGGGACGCGCACGAAACGGCAGGCTCCGCAGACGCAGGCCGCGCCACGGTGCCCCCCGGCAGCCCATCCCGCCCACTGGGCGGGCCGGACCTCCGCCGTGCCTCGCGGCCCCCCATATCGTGGAGCCGCGGCCCTCCCTGCCGCGCCCCCGCCCTCGTGGAGCCCCCACGAGAAAAAGGCCGAGCGCGCGCGCAAGAGGCGGGGCGCGCGGGGGAGAGAGCACGTGGGGATCCAGTCGGGCCCAGGCAAGAAGCACACATCCCTGAAGAGCATGCGGCCCTCCGCCAGCCAGACCACGCAGAGCATCCTATGGGGTACCCTCCCCAGGACACACAAGAACACCCAACAAGCACGAACAACATTGGGGTACCTCCCCCCCTGAACGACCTCGATCTTATACCTCGGTCCGACTGCAATGGCAACGTGACCCTAAGAGGCCAAGAAGCCCTCAAAAAAACCCCAAGAGGGGCTCCAAAAACTCCCAGGCCGCCCCGTAGGCCTCGAAGAAGCCCCCCAGAAGCCCGGCAACAGACACGGAGGTGGAGGAGGAGGAGGAGGGGGAGGAGGAGGATTTTTTTTTTTCTCTGCAGGCCGTAAGGCAGAACCGAGGGGCCACGGTTGGCCCGGGCCACAGTTGGCCCGCGCGCGGGCGCCCCACGGGCCGCGCCCGGGGCGCCTCCGGCGCGCTCACACCTTGGAGGTGGGGGGAGAGGACCCCCGGCGACGACTCCCAGAGGGTGGGGCCCCAGCCGGGGAGGCTGAGGGGGGCCCACGGGAGACCTGCGTCGCCGACGGCGCGGGGCGGGCCCCCCGCAAGCGGGCAGCAGGGAATGGATAGCCAGCTCCCCCCCCCGTTTTGCCGGCCGGAAACACCCGACCACCGACAGAACGGGCAGGGGCCAGGCACCCCCAGACCCCACCACCCACCCCAGGGGCCCGCCACGTCACGACACGACGCGACACGACGGGGGGACGAAACGACCGACGCGACACGAACGACACGACACGGACGAACGACACGACAAAGACGAGCCGCCGGTCCCGCCCCAGGGCGGCGAGTGCTGGGGGGAAACCAGCACCGCCCTGGGGGAGGCCACGGGACCTGGCGACCCCCCCGGGGGAAGGAAACCGCACTTTGGCGGCGTCCCCCGGGGTGCGGGGGCTTTTCGCCCCTCGGGCCCGGCGCTCCCCGCCTGCGCCAGGAGGACCCTAGGGTCCCGACCCCTCCCCTACGGGAGGGGCCCCCTCGGGGCAAGAGGAGGAGGAGGAGGAGGAGGAGGAGGAGGAGGAGGAGGAGGAGGAGGAGGAGGAGGAGGAGAGGAGGCGGAGGAGGAGGTGGAAGAGGAGGACGAATCAGGAATCACGACACGCATCGGCGGCGAGCGAGGGGGGGAAGTCAGAGGGGGCGGGCCTTCTCAGAAGGCTCGGAAGTCCCCTAGCCCTCTTCCCCGGAGAAGCACAGAACACTCCCCAAAAGGCGCGAGGGCTTCCGAGAAGCCCGGCCGCCTTCTGAGAGAAGGCCTTCTCCTCCCCACCTGCACCCCCCCTCGCCCGCCGCCGACAACGCAGGCAACCGACGGGAGGTGGCCCAGCGCGCGTGCTGCCTGCAGCGCTGGCGGCCGCAGCAGGCGCGGCGACGCGGAGCCCGCGGGCCGCCGCCGGAGAAAAGAGGCCACGGACGCACGGCACCGCGAGCCGCGCAGAGTACCCGCCGCGCAGAAAATACCCTTTGCTGGGAGGTCGGCGGAGGGGCCCGCTGCTCCTGCAGGACGCGTGCGGGCGCCCACGCGCGGGTTTGCCCACCGAGGCCCTCCGCTACGACGAGGGCGATGCGATGGTCGACCAGCTGGGTGGAACGGGGTGTGAACACACAGAGAGGGCGAAGGCACGTCCCGAGGATCATCGAATGGCGGAAGCCTCTTGGCCACTGGGGCGAGGGGGGACCCCCGGACCCCCGCATGACTGCCTACCAGACCACCCCAAGCCAACCCGAGGGCCCGAAATTCGGGTTGGGGGGGGTGCGGGTTCCATGTGTCTGTTCGATGCTCCACGACCCCCCCCCCACTGGACATGGACGGCACATCGGGGCCTTCGGGTTGGGTCGGGGTGGTTTGGCGGGCGGTGATCTAGAGGCCGACCGTACACGTCGTTCATTTCTAATCGTGCTCGTTTCTAATTGTTCCTGGCCCCCTAGTGGCCAGGAAGAGGCCCAAGATAGAGCAATCAGGCATGAAAGGATCTTGCCCCCCCCAAAAGAAATCAAAGAACTTTCGAAGACTTAGAAGTGAACCATGCGTGCAGAAAACCTCCGGCTTGACGCTTTCAACACGCTGGGTCTCCGGGCGGAGGGCGATGGGGCTGGGCGGGAGCACGGAGACTAGCAGGGCCGCGCGGGCCTGGGTGCGAAGCCGCCGCTCCGCCGCGCCCTCGGCTCCGGGAGAAGTCCTCGCGCGTGCCCCCCTTGCCCTCCTCCTCCTCCTCCTCCTCCTCCACCTCCTGCTCCTCCTCCTCCTCCTCCTTCTCCTCCTCCTCCTCCTCCCTCCTCCTCCTCCTCCTCCTCCTCCTCTCCTCCTCCTCTCTCCTCCTCCTCCTCCTCCTCCTCCTCCTCCTCCTCCTCCTCCTCCTCCTCTCCTCCTCCTCCTCCTCCCCCTCCCTCCCCCTCCTCCTCCTCCTCCTCCTCCTCCTCCTCCTCCTCCTCCTCCTCCTCCTCCTCCTCCTCCTCCTCCTCCTCCTCTCCCTCCCCATCCTCCTCTTCCCCCCCCTCGCGCGGAAGGCGCACGGGACGGGTCGCGCCAGGGGCTGTGGGCAGGAGATGTAATTGGAGAAACGGCCTCTATGCACCGACGCGTTTGTCCCGGCCCTGCGCTGACACTTGCACAGGGTTGGGCGTTGGCAGCACTGGGTTTAGGCTGGGTGATGTGTACTGGGGGACGCCCCCCCGCCCTATTCCACTAACCGGAACTGCCGTCACCCGAAAAAACACCAGCTACGGCAGACCTTGTTTTTAGTGATTCTGGCAAATTTAGGGGCTCCAGGGCCCTACCACTAACCGGGTCCCCTTACCTGGGGTCCTGGCTATCCCGACAGAAGAGCGGATCCTGGTCTATACGAGATCCTCGTGCATGCATCTTTCTTCGCTGTGCCCCCGGGAAGCGGACGACAAAACATATATTTACACCACACCACCCCCACGTCGTCCCAGACCCTCAGAAATTCCTGGGACTGAAGCACGGTCCGCCATTGGTAATGTGTATGCGTTAATTTCCGGAGATGAAGTAACCGTGATACGCGATGGTCGATACCAACCCCGTCATCCGTCGCACGAAAACGAATCTATTCATCCGTGCGGGGGGAACCGCCGAGCGACATCGTCAGCACACCACGAACTGATTCCTGGGGGGTGTCCTTCAGGAATCTTCTGGGTTCGTCAGGATACTGGAGGAATGGAATTCTTCGGGGATCCTGACCGATTCCCCTTGGAATCCGATTAGGGTCTTGTCGGGATCGGGATCCCGCGCTGAGGATTCCAGAGGCAGAATATCACTTCCATGGGCGGCGAGTGATACTCGGGAGCGGCCAAGAGGGGGGTGTCCAAGAGGGGGGGGGTGCAAATCATGACCGGCGGCATGTGCGCGGCCCAGCGGGGGGGCCGGGGACGTAATGAAATAAGAAGAGGAAATCTGGGGAAATACCATAATCATCACCCCCTCTTTTCCGCCCCGAGATACTACAGTCGACAAGGGGGGGGGGGTCGATCCTCGAGTGCAACGGCAGTCGGTCGAGGGCCAGTCGAGACAGCGGCGGCCCTCCCTGGCGTGCTGCGCCCTGCCTGGGCCTCCGGGCTGTTCCTCGTCGCCGCGGCTGGAGGGCCTGGAGAGGGAGGAGGGAGGAGGGAGGAGGGAGGGAGGGAGGGAGGGAGGGAGGGAGGGAGGGAGGGAGGGAGGGAGGGAGGGAGGAGGGAGGGGAGGAGGAGGAGGAGAGGAGGAGGAGGGAGGAGGAGGAGGAGGAGGAGGAGCGTCCCGAAAACGGGTCAGGGTGGGCCCCGGGAGGGAAGCTCACCTGGCCCTCCTCCGACTGGGGGAGGCGAAGGAGAGCGGCAAGCCTGCGACCTCGAGGGCGCACTGCAAGCGGGCGGAAAGAGAGGCAGGGCGGCAAGCCTGCTGCGCTCTGACCAGAGCTCCCGCGGGCGCGGAGGAGGAGGAGGAGGAGGAGGAGGAGGAGGAGGAAGAGGAGGAGGGGGAGGAGGAGGAGGAGAAGGGATGAGGAGGAGGAGGAGGAGGAGGAGGAGGAGGAGGAGGAGAAGGAGGAGGGGGAGGGAAGGAGGAGGGGGAGGAGGAGGAGGAGGAGGAGGAGGAGGAGGAGGAGGAGGAGGAGGAGGAGGAGGAGGAGGAGGAGGAGGACGGAGAGGACAGGTTGGAAGCGCGCGACTTCGGTCGCGGGGTGCCCGGTCGAAGCGGAGAAGGGCACGCACGAGCCAGCCCTATATGGAGCTCCGCCGCGTCGACCGCACACGAGCCTCCGCTCCGCCAGCCTCGTCGCACTCGGGCTCTGGCAGATAGGATCAGGCTGGGCAACACGCCCCTTCGTGTCGCGGGCCTGCTTGCCGCCCTCGAGGCAGGGGTGGTGAGGCCTGCCCGGACCCGGACTTCGTCCGAATGTCGTCCATAGTTCGTCCAGACGTCGCCCAAATCCGACGAAATCCGCACGGAATTCCCCCAACCTGCAAGGGACCTGGGAACCCTCTCAGGCCCCCAGGAGGAAGGACCACACCAACCGAGGTTACCGGGGGGCTCCAGACATCCGCCGGTGTGATTTTTTTCTATCCACGGCCCCAGAAGTCCCGACCTCTTTCCCGAGGGGGAGGGGGTTTTCTGCGGACGCTAAGAATTAGTACTGAAAAATTGGTACAAAGCCCAACAACAAAGGTTGTCTTTCCCGAGGGGGATGGGATTTTCTGTGGACGCCAGGAATGAGTACTGAAAAATGGGTACAATGCCCAACAACAAAGGTTGTCCCAAACCGACAGCGGCCGCTGTTGGGCAGGCGGCTTGTCGTCAGGAGTAACGTCTGCGGAGGCGCGGACAGCGAGTTCTGCTCAAAATGAACAAGAACTGCTGTTGGGCATCGTACCCATTCTTCCCGTACCCATGTCGATCGTCCCCATTTTCGTCCCGGACACATTTCTAGGTCGGGCATGTCCCCCTACAGGCGGATTTTGAGCGACAAATTAAAATTAGTCACGAAATACTCCGAAATGAACAAACATAGTTAACACATCGTCCCCGGACTACTTTTTAAACTATTCTTGAAGTTTCCTCCTGCAGAGGGCGTGCTCGACTTACATCCATGTCTGATGGCCCCCGGGCCCGACAGCCGGCCCGGGAGGGCGACATATATGGACGACGAAAGCCGCCGGCTGGAAAACATCAAACCCTCGGAGGCCTGGGGGGGTGGGGGCTGCCTGTGCGCAACCGGAGGCCTTACCAGCGTAGCTCGCCATCGCTCGGACGTCCATTCCCCGTGCATGTTTCGATTTCGTGCGTTTGCTTTTTCGTGAGATGATCCAGTCTGCTCCTCGATGGCTTTCGCCGAGAAAAGATGCACACGTCCGAGCGATGCCAAGGCAGGAGAGGTGGCGCAGTGCCAGAAGTGGGATCCCGGAATGGAAGCGGTGCTCTCCCGAGTCCCGGCGGCTGGCCCCGGGGGGGGGGAAATCCGCAGGGGCGGGCCTTCTCAGAAGGCTCGGAAGTCCCCCAGCCTTCGGTAAAGTTTTCTGACCCTGAGATCCTGGCGCCTCATTTCTTTCGAGCCGGGCGTTTTCGCTCCATTTCAAGCCCTGGGACCCTCACAGATCGATCCGGATCGCAAAATGACGCACAAAGATCGGGTCTGGGGGTCCGGTCGTGATCTTGTTTCGGTGTTGTATGTTTTTACAAAGCGGTTCTCAGAGAAGCCTCCCCCGAAGACACGACAAAAAACTGTTTAGAAGGCGCGAGGGCTTGGAGAAGTCCTGCCGCCTTCTGAGAGGCCCTGCTCATCCTCAGTTCCCCCCTCGCTTGCCGCCGAGAGACATCCGATCACCCCCGGCCTCCCGGACGGGAGGACGCCGCGCAACCGCAGGTAGGGAGCACACGAAGCGGGCAGGGGATGGGCAACCACCTCGTCGCGCAGTGACGCGCCGCCCGGGCGAGATGCCATGGCTCGTGGGGGACGGCACGTAGAGGCCTCGTAGATGGGGTCGAAGGACCGCGCCGCATCGCCGACGTCGACGGGGAGCAAGGCGGGCTCCGCAGCGAGACGCATCGTCGATGCATCGGCGATGCGGCGCGATCCTCCCCCACTCCGACCCCATCTGGGTGGCCTTGAGTGCGGTAGGTTCGCGCGGCGTCGGCACGCGCCGAGATCGCCAGGTCCCGTGGCGTCTCCGTGTCCCTCGGTGCTTCCGCGCAGCAGAATTCAACCTTGAGCGCCTTCGCCGGCGATGCTGGCGCGCCAGCGCCGCATGAACCCGGGGGGAGGGGGAGGAGGAGGACCCAGACCCCCGACGTCCTGACTTTTTCCCTTACGTCGACCCCCAGAGGTCTGGACCCCTTTCCAGGGACGGGCTTCTCATCCCGAGTCGTCTCGTTGACGGTCCCGAGGCCCCGCAGGGGGCCTGCAGAGGCCGAAACTAGCGAGAAGCCTCCCGTCGCGATTTCTTCACCACGCGAGGGAGTCTGGGCGAGGGGCAACGATAGGGGGGACTGGCATATGGGGGGGATGCATCGACCTGGAATCGGCGACACGTCGCCGATAGATCGGCGATGGGCCCCCGGTCGTGAGTCTGCACCTCCCTGGGCAGGTTGGGGCCATCGGGCCCCCATCGGCGATCAATGGGCGATTGGGGGTCGATGCGTCCCCCCCTACAGCCGGGGCTCTGAATAAGGAACCCTTTTCGTTGTGGAGGGGCTCCGTGTTCCTTCATTGTTTTCATTTTGCCCCAGGTTACCCTTGGATTTCCAATGGGAAGTCGAAGTTGAACTTCTGGAGAAAAGGGGCCTCGTTCCATATTTTTAGGGTTCCTTAGGTCAAGGCCCCGACTGTATGCCTAATTATCCCCCCCCCGGTCGCTGCCCCTGGACTGGGGAGGCGGCGGCCCCCGCGTCTGCTGCTCTCTGCGGCGCTGGCCGCTGCCGCAGGCGGGTCCTGGCGCCGGCCCGGGGCTCCGAGGCCCTCCGGCGGCCGCTGCCCGCCGGCGCCTCCTCGCCCCGCTTCGGCTTGGCCTGGCGGGCCCCGGTGCGCGTCGGGGAGCCCCTGCCTCTGCGCAGGCCATAGGGGGCCACAGGCGAAGCCTACCACTGCCCCTCCACGATTTTTCGGAGGGGGAGGGGGGGGTTCACTTCGCTCGGGAGCTCCCAAGAGGAGTGAACCCCAGCCTCCCCCTCAGAAATCGTGGGGGGGTAGGGGCAGGGTTCGCGTGTGGCCCCCTGCAGGCCAAGCCCGGACGTCGAGGTCGACATCCCCAAGACTTGCGCAACACAGCGCTTGGACGACGGAGTCGACTTCCAAAACACGGAGCTCTCTCGGGTCGGGTTCTGGAGGTCGGCTTCGACATCCCAGACCACATGAGATGTTGGGGAGACAGAAGTCGACCTCCAAAGACACTCAGTTCTCTCGGGCACTTCCGAAGGAACATGTTTTTCCTCGCCAGCGCACGGTGGTCCTGATGTTCGTGACTCTCTAATCGTCGCAGCGCGCAGCTTTTACCAAACAGTACCAACGACGTGTGCTCTGCATGAGGCGAATACGCAAGACCGCTCGATTGAGCCCACGCTCGTCTCTAAACGCGGCCGAGAGCTGATGCATTCTGCAAGCCTTGCTATGACCAGGCCCACACGGGTACCCGTCGCGAACATGGCGGGCCCGAGGGCCAGAAGACAAACGCGCTATGGCTTACCATCTGGAATAAGAGTTTGCCCAAGAGTGGCTGCGACGAAGAACTCCTGTGCGAGTACTGTGGGCTGACGATGGGAAGGTCTCCCCTCCATGCCCTATGGGGCCCATTTCGTGTTGTGTAGGGCATACTAGACATCTCGGATCTAGGGGCCGACGTTTTTTCCAGTCGTCCCCTGTTGCTTCGCCGCGCCCTAGCAGGAGAGGTCGAAATCAAGCGAAAACGTCGCACGACCACGCGCACGAATCCATACGCCGTGGTGGGCGAGAAGAGTCGGAGTTCAACCGTTCGCCGCCACTGCACCTGCGAAGCAGGGCAACAGGAGGAGGACGAGGAGGAGAAGGAGCAGGAACAGGTGGAGGAGGTGGAGGAGGAGGATGCGGAAGTGCGGGGGCAAGCAATGTCATAGACATTAAGATTCGGAGGTCCGCACGGATTTCTCGGATCGGCGGAGAACCGCCTTCCCTGGCGAGAGGGGCGCGCAAAGGGCGGCGCCAGAGGCACCGGGCTTTTCATGCTTGTGCCAGTGCTTGTTCTCCTGATGTCGTCGCGAAGTAAAAGGAGCAGGAGGGGGAGAACGAGGAGGAGGAGGAGGAGAAGGAGAAAACGGGGAAGGAGAGGCAGAAGGAGGAGGAGGAGGAGGTGGAGCGTGGCCCAAAGAGGAGGAGGAGGAGGAGGAGGAGGAGGAGGAGGAGGTGGAGCGTGGCCCAAGGAGGAGGAGGAGCAGGAGAAGGATGAGCAGGAGGAGGAGGAGGAACGGCAGGAGCAGGAGGAGGAGGAGGAGGTTCATGAGGAGGACGTGAAGCGTGGGATCGAACGCTGCGAGCATCACGCTTCGAGTCTGGCCAGCGTCAAGAGTGTAGAGCGAGGCCCACAGAGGAGGAGGAAGAGGGGGAGGGGGAGAAGGAGGAGGAGAAGGAGGAGGAGGAGGAGGAGGAAACGGAGCAGGACGTGGAGCGTGGGATCGAACGCTGCATGCATTCAGTTTAAACTCTGGCCAACGTCAAAAAGGTGGAGCCTGGACCAGGGAGGAGAAGGAGGAGGAGGAGGAAGAGGAGGAGGAAGAGGAGGAGGAAGAGGAGGAGGAAGAGGACGTGGATCGCGGGATCGAATGCTGTGAGCACCACGCTTGGACCTTGGCCAACGTCGAAAAGGTGGAGGGTGGCCCAAGGAGGAGGAGGAAGAGGAGGAGGAGCAAGAGAATGTGGACCGTGGGACCGAACGATGTGTGCATTACGCTTAGAGTCTGACCAACGTCAGAAAGGTGGAGCGTGGCACAAGGGGGAGGAGGAGGAGGAGGAGGAGGAGGAGGAGGAGGAGGAGGAGGAGGAGGAGGAGGAGGAGGAGGAGGGGGGGAGGAGGGGGAAGGAGGAGGAAGAGGAGGAGGAGGAGGAGGAGCGTGGCCCAAGAAGGAGGTGGCGGCGGCGGCGGCGATACGGGGTCGGGCCGAAGGCCGAGATACTCGATCTACAAACACACTCCGGCAGCATGCGGACATGTGCGACCTACCGTGCGACTCGAACATCGAATCATGGATGGTCCCCCCAGCGGGAAAAACCCGAGTTGCCCTCGCTAAGCCAAGGCTACGTGGCCACGGAGGCGGACGGAATTCACATGTCAAACACGCGGGCATGCCGGACAAATCAGCTCAGAAAAGATGCGGGAAGAGAGAGGGACGAGTGCCGAGGAGGGGACAGACTAAGTGCTTCAACGCAAACCAGTGGCGGGATCTTCGCCGCGCCTACGGAGAGGCTGGACTCCAGCGACCAGCGGCGATCAGTGAAATCCTAGGCGACGCGATGACCATCCCGGCATCAGACCACAATGTCAGAAACCCGCAATCGGAGCAAAAACAAGGGTAAGGCGAGTGCGGATACTTTGACGAAAGAGCGGTACATGTGACCCACGCCTTCAATCATATCTGGATGTTCTCTTTGGCGATGTCAGTGTTTGCAAGAAGCGGCCAACAGCCCTGAAAGGCTGCCCGCGAAAGCAGGACGTTATTCGTGAAGAGGTCGGCATATGCCCAAAACGGGCAACAACCCCGAAAAACTGCCCGTGGAGACAACAAGCCATCCGCGACGAGGCCGGCAAAGCAAGCGGCCAACAGCCTCGAGGGACTGCCCGCGAACAAAAGACGCCATGTCAACGGGAACCGGCAGATGCTAGCGCCAAACAGCCACGAAAGACTGTCCGCAACACGCGACAACGTCCGCGAAGAAGCCCGCATGTGCTAAAAGCGGCCAACAAGGCCCGCGGACACAAGACGCCGTCCGTGAAGCGGTCGGTATATGCCAGAAACGGCCAACAACCCCAGCGGGCTGCCCGCGGACACACGACGCCATTCGTGAAGAAGACGACAGATGCAAAGCGACCATCATCCCCGAAAGGCCGACCGCAGACACTGGACGCCATCCGTGACAAGGTCGGCATATGCAGGAAGCGGCCAACAACGCCACGAGGCTGCCCGCGAACACAGAATGCCATTCGTGAAGAGGTCGATATTTGCAAGGAACTGCCAACAACCCCGACGGGCTGCCTGCAGACACTGGACGCCATCCGTGAAGAAGCCGGCGCATGCAAAAAGCGGCCAACCGCCGCACAGGACAGCCCGCATACACAATACGCCATCCGTGACGAAGTCGGCATATGCAAGGAGCCGCCAACAGTCCTGAAAGCCTGCCCGCGGACACAATGCACCATCCGCGAAGACCTCGAGAGATGCCATCCGCCCAGAAGCCGTCTGTGAAGAAACATATGCAGAAAGCGGCCAACAGGCCCGAAGGGCAGCTCGCGGAAACAAGCAGCCATCAGTGAGGTACTACGCAAGAAGCGGAAGAGAACCTCGTTTGACATTGACTGGTACCTTGCGGCCCAATGCATATAACCTCGCCCTGACCGCCATGCGCACACAGCCAAAAAGTCAATCATGCGACCGGAGACATGCGAGAGGCGGCAGGCGACGCAGGGGGGACCGTCGCTCGCAGTCGAAGTGCGATCTCGAAACTGCGGGCATGCCTGCCCCTGTTGCGTCTTCCTGGACAGGTGGGCGAGGAGCCCGGCGTAGGGAGGACATCCTCGTCCTGACCTCATCCGGGGCCCATCGCCTCCTCGGGCGGCGCGGGGGCGGGCCATCCTCGGCTGTTGAGGACGGTGGCGCCGTCGGAATTAGCCGTATTTATATCGGGCCGCACAGCGGCGGCAGAGAGCACAGGCCGCGGCAACACGGCGGGAACGTCGGAAGTCGCATGATCTAGGGGCGGGGGGGGGCTAGGAGGAGGAGGAGGAGGAGAGGGGGGAGGAGGAGGAGGAGGGGGAGGAGGGAGGAGGAGGAGGAGGAGGAGGAGGAGGAGGAGGAGGAGGAGGAGGAGGAGGAGGAGGAGGAGGAGGAGGAGGAGGGGCAGGAGGAGGAGGAGGAGGAGGAGGAGGAGGAGGAGGAGGAGGAGGAGGAGGAGGAGGAGGAAGAAGACACCGCCGCGGTTGAAACGATACAGGCCGGCCGAGGCTTGGAGTCGGCGCCCCCCCCGGCCGAGGCGCGCGCGCGCCCCCCCGCCGCCCACGGAGCCCTCGCCTCGGCCTGCTTCGGGGCCTCCTCGCGGGACCTCACGGAGGCCTTCGGCCTCGCAACCTCGGCGGCCGCGGCCCCGTCGCGCTTCCTGGGCTCCTGCAGGGCGGGGCCAGCCGTCGAGCATCGCTTGACTCGGCGGCGAGCGAGGGGGGGAAGTAATGAAGACGAAGCCAGGGCGAGGAGAACATCGGGCGAGGATCAGTCGAGAATCTCTAGGATGCGGTGGCTCTGGAGGAGGTCTCGGGCGCCGCGGCCTTCTCAGAGCCTTCCGGAACGCTCTGTGAGCGTTCTGGAACGCTCCGGAACAAATTGATCCTCGTCCTAGCCCCGTCCGAGGACGTGGGAAGAAGGCCTCCTGAGAAGGCGGCGGGGCTTCCCAGAAGCCATCTGGCCCTCTGAGAAGTGCTCCGTGTCTTCGGGGAAGGCCCAGAACACTTCTCAGTGGGCCAGGGGACTTCCGAGCCTTCTGAGAAGGTCCGCCCCCGCAACGCCGATATGAACTGATCCACGTTCCCGCTTGCGTGGCCCGGGCCCCGCTGGCCGATGCACCGCCCCTGGATGGGGACACAGGCTGCTCCCTTCGGGCTTGGAGGAGGAGGAGGAGGAGGAGGAGGAGGAGGAGGAGGAGGAGGAGGAGGAGGGAGGAGGGAGGAGGGAGGAGGGGGGCATGTCCCCAGCTGGGGTGGCGATCGGGATGGGGATGGGGTGGGGATCGATTGAGCGATACTGAGCCATCACCCACTCGGGGAACCAGGGCGAACAGGAGCGCGTGTCGGATCGGGCTGCCTCGGCACGGAGTGGGCATCGGCTAGGCTGGGCCGCGCCGAGGGAGGCACATCGGCACCGCACCGGCGCCAGGGGGCCGCACATCGGACCCCTCGGGAAAACGAGCGAGCTCGAAGCAGAGGAGGGCCTGGCCAGAGCCAGTGTCGGATCGACCTCGGATCGGACGGACTGGGTCGAGGTGGGCCCTGTGGGCGGGGAGGGGCAGTCGGTGGTTCAAGGATAGGGGAGGGGTCTCAAGGATAGGATGAGATCCACTGGTGGATCTACGCTGTTTGAGGCACCTCGTCCTTAGGACCCCATCCCTCAGGACCCCAGCTTGGAAGCACCGATGGAGGGCACGGTGAGTACGGGTGCTCCAACACTGGCATCGGGCCCCCTGTGTAGGCGGCAGGCGGCAGCAGCGGCGGCAACGCTTGAGAATCGCAACCGATACTGTGCAGTCGCAGTCACCAGCAGAGGGGAAGGGAGCACATGGGACATAACAGCCAACCCCACGGGAACGACTCGCAGCTCGCGCGATCGGCGGCGAGCGAGGGGGGGGAAGTGAGAAAAGGCTAGGGCCTTCCCAGGAGGCGGCGGGCCTTCTCCTCTGGCCTTCTGAGAACTGCTCGGTGTCTTCGGGGAAGGGGGAAGGCTCGGACAACTTCTCAGAAGACCGCGGGACTTCCGAGCCTTCTGAGGAGGCCCGCCTCGTCTCACGTCCCCCCCTCGCTCGCCGACGACATGAGGCCCCATCGGCCGGAGTCCGACGAGAGCCCGACGGAGGGCTGGACGACACGCCTTCCCATGCCGTCGGGGCATCGGCGAGGAACACCATGGGGGGAAGGGCGGCCCCGTAGGGCAAGGAGGGGGGGCAGCAGCACGAGGGGGAGGGTGCTGAGGGGCAACGACTTGCCATATCTCGGACGTCCATTCCCCCCGGGCATTTGTCGATGTCCTGCGCTTCTTTCATCGCAAGATGATCCAAGATGCTCCTCGATGGTCCCCGCCGAGAAAAGATGCACACGTCCGAGCGATGCCAAAAATGTGGGGGGACCAGCTCAGGGGGGGAAACATCGACCTGGAATCGGCGATGCATACATCGCCGATAGATCGGCGATCCGCCCCCCATGGCGGAATCCCTCGCTCCTGGGCGGGGTGGGCTACCTGCGGGGACAGCAAGCGACCACAACCACGTCTAGGACACAACCATGAGGGGTCTCTTCCGCATGCCTACAGTTGTTGGAACCACGAAGCCAGGACGGCAACACCGACCACAACCACAACCAAAGTGATCATGTCGAGGTCGGTGGGTTCTCCCAGGAGGGGGCCTCCCGAAAAACCCACTTAGCTGTGGTTGAGGTTCCTTGTGCCCAGACGATCCGGTCCCTGTCGGCACTGCGCTCGCGGTTCGGGATCGATGCGTTCCTCTCTGGCCTATCTCCCCCCCGGCGAGGAGGGAGGTCGGCCTCTCGGAGGTGCAGCGCCTCTTTTGTGTTTGTTAGTTGGACCTTCGCTCCCGGCGAAATCCCGATGGAGAACAGACATGGGAACTGAGGGTGCACGCCACGAGGAACACCATGACCGAGTCGCACGGACGCAATCTGCATGCAGCAAGAGAGCTGAGAATTAGATGAAACGAAGAGTGGGAGGAGGAAGACGCCATCCGCCCATTCAGGAGAGGCGAAGTCCAGACGGAGTAAGCCCAGTCGGAGGCTGAGCGCTGCGAGCGGACTTACTTCGTACGGACTTCGCCTCCTCCGACTCATACCGTCGACTGGATGGCGCAAGCCTGCTCGTTATTCCCCCTACGTGGCCGGCACTATCGGCAGAGCTGGGCGCGGATGGCAGGAGCGATTGCGCTCCGTGGGGGCCAGGCGCGCGCATCCTGGCTGCATCTGTGAATCCAAGAGCTTAGGAAGCAGCGCCTCGAAGCTCTTCGAAAGGCGCCTTGAAGGCGATTCGGCCCGATGCAGGGGCCATGGAGCCGAATCTGGCTGGACTTAGCCCGCGACCACTCTGGATTAAGCAAGATCGCTCAGAATTGAGCGGCATCGTGCCCGAACGTATTGGTCTCCGGCCACGGATATATACCAGCGCCGATGCCGACTGTACGGGGAAACCAGAAGGTACCGATGCCGCTGCTCCCCGCTCTCCTGGGGCGCGTTCTCACCAGGATTTCGAGGCGAATCCAGCGATGACGACGAGGGCCTCCCAGGAGGCCCACACAGAAGGAAAACGAGGGAAGGGTAGCGGTAGGGGCACCTTTTCCTCCCCTGACTTTCACCTCCCACGGCCTGAATGCTGCAAGAACGCTCGACAATCTCAGAAGCGCTCTGGGGCCTCCCTGGACCATCCCTGCGGCGGGCCTGGAACCAGCACCGGCCCTGTCTTGGAACCAGCCCTGCGGCCCCTGGAGCCATCCCTCCCGGCCCGCACCGTGGCGCGCGGTGTCGGCCTCGGGCTAGGAGCGAGGGCCCTGAATGAGGAACCATTGGATGAGGCATCCAGTTTTTTCAAACTCACTCTAGCAATCCTCGCGGCCATGCTTGGTTAACATATCCTCTGGTGTGGTGCTGTGGTCAGGTCACAGACCCTGGATGACCCTGGATGAGGCATCCAGGGTCTGGAAGCGGGTGGAACTCCGATCGTGGATGGGCCATGGAAATCATTGCCGCCGTCCTCAAATGAGGGCTCCCCCAGGGTCTCGACCCTCCAGGGCACGACCCTAAACCAACGCCCCTACCGTATCGTACAATCGGACCTAGGCCAGAAGAACACCACTCCAGAACACGAGACCCTCCGCCGGCCAAAACGCGCAGAACGTCCAAGGAGACCCTCCCCGGGATGCACCAGAGCATCCGACAGACGAGAGGAACACCCGAGGGCCCCCTCCCCGAGCCGACCTCGACCTTGGTCGGGTCGGGCGAAAGGGGGGGATAGCAAAGGGGGGGTTTGAGAATCAGCTCACGTAGCTGATTTTCCCGGCGCCTCCCAGCGCCGGAGGCGGCCATGTATCGAGGAATGGGCCCCTCGGTGAGGCCGAAACCAGCTGCATGCAGCAAATTTCGTACCCCCCCCTTTCCCAATCCCCCCCTTTCGCCCGACCTCGACCTTAGCATCCAAGGGTACCTTCGCCGAACCGACCTCGATCGTTGGCGCCTCGGTCCGACCGTGGTGCTCCGGCCGAGGTGGACACCTCGTCGGGGCCGACCGTGCGCCGGCGCGGGGGGGCAGCGGGGCGCCCGAGGTCGGGGCGCACCGGGGGGAGGACGGAGAGAGGCACCGGCCGCAGAGGTTCTGCAGGCTGCGGCTCGCGGAGCACACGCGCTCGAGGCGCTGACCTAAGGAACCCAAAATGAGGAACGAGGCCCCCTTTTTCCATACGTTAAACTTCGATCTCCGATCGAAAACATAAAAGAAAACCTGCGGCAAGCCGTGAAGCACTTGAGGAGCGCGGAGCCCCTCCCCCAACCAAAAGGGTTCCTTCTTCAGGGCCCCGACTGTACGCGCTCGCGGCGGGTCCAAGGATTCGCATAGAAAAAGGAGCCCAAACCCTTTGGGAGGCGACCTCAGTCAGGAGGGCAAAGAACATTCGGGAAATGGGGTGCCTTCCCCTGCAGACGTATCGAGCCAGACCGCACGCAGAGACGGGAGCCTAATTGAGGCCACGTCTTCACTGTGTTGTTAGGGCTGGAGGTTCTTCATTCTCGATGACCAAGAACTCGTGTGAGCTTTCGCCGCTGCCATTCCCGCTCACTGGGGGAAGACGCTCTGAAGGAGGCCTGGGCGGAGGACAGGCAAGGGGAGCCACGGTACAAGAGCAACGGTTGACGCCCACCTTGAAGGCAAGAATGATATTACCCACCATTGCTAGGCGAACGATATGCAGCAGCAAGAGACAGAGATAGAAAACAGAGACAGAGACTGGGAGAGAAATAGAGAGAGAGAGAGAGAAAGAACAAAACGAGGACAAGAGAGAGAGGCAGAGAGAGAGAGAGAGACGATACACACATTCATATGGATGCGCTTATACATACAAATAATGTACATACGTGCGTACGCATGTCAGCCAGCATTGACCCCCACCTGTGGTGCGATCTATGCGATGCATTATGTGTTGTGCAAGCTTGGTGGTGCAGTCTAAGTGGTGCAATCTGTGTGGTGCAGTCTATGTTATCGGTGCCATCAAAATGGTGCAATACATGTTGTGAACTCTATGTGGTGCAATCTACGTGGTACATTAATATTCAGAAGCGGGGTTGGAGAGAGAGAGAGAGAGAGAACACAAGAGGGAGAGAGGTAGAGGGCACTATATATAATTATATATATAAAGAGAGAGAGAGAGAGAGAGAGAACAAAAAAGCAGAGAGAGAGAGAGACATCAGATATCAACAACAGGAAAGGCAGCCCATGCGCGAAACCATACAGAGGCCACAACGAGCGCTGAGGGATCCTTTCCAACCTCGGCCTGCTTGCTGCGAGTTGTGTCTTCGGCAGCCCGCGCAGAGGCTGGCTGCTTGGCTGACCTGGGGAAGAGCAGGCATTGCAGACCAAGCGGGCCACCAAGAGGGGAGCTGAGAGGCATTGCTGCACATCTTCAGCGCGGGCATGCACATCCTTAAGCAACATGCATCCTACATGGTCCCTGGCAAGTCTTATTCGAATTTGTTGCTTCGCTGTAGCCAAGCGCTTGCTTCGACCGATTCGCGCGTTCGCTGAGTCCGCGACTGGAAACATCTTATACGTATTCCTCCTCTGGACCCAGAGCTCCACCTGCGCAGCCAGAGCGCAACAAAGGAGACACCCGAGAGGCACCCGAGAAACACACAAGACTGCTCCAACCTCCAAGAAAGTGCGCAATTGCCACCCACATCGCAAGGACACGGCAAAAAACAAACACGCCCCCCTGAGTACAGTTGGACCTAGGCCAGGATAACACCCCCCACGAACATAAGACCCTCCGTCGGCCAAAACAAACAGAACATCTAAGGATACCCCCCCCCCAGGATGCACAAGAACATCCAGCGAACACGAAGAACACGAGGGTCCCCTCCCCGAACCGACCTCGATCGTAATCCTCGGCCCGACTGTACCGAGCGTAATGAAGTAGCTCCGTCAAGTGCACAGGTTGGTCCAGGGTGGATCGGCGTTGGGCGGCTGGAGCGACGCAGTGACCATCGCACTAGACACGAACCTAACCAGATATTGTCCAACGGTGACAGCGCGAGGTCGATTGAATTCTGCACGCGCAAGTGGGCACGATAATATGATCACTGACCATGTGGAGCCTTAGCGCCGAACGCATGTTATTGCCTGGTAATGTCAATGGGTGCTGCGCATGAAACCGAAGGGTTTGCAACGCCAACAACGAGAAACATGTGACACGCACGGTGGATGCGCCGGGCAATGCAACCGAATAAACTCGTAGACGTCATGTGGTGCGGAATTAGCGCCAAGACCCGAGAATGAAACCGACACCGCAGACATGAGCAGAGAGAAGGCGCAGCGGGCGCGAGCATCTTGACGCACATTGGTACCACAATGGACCTGCTGCGACAGCTCCAGGGGGCGCCCGTACAGTTTGTTGAGCAGGGACCGACCGTCCCAGAAATCCGATAGGCCTACCACGAAATGTTCTTAGAACAACAACAAAAAAAGCTACAATAGCAAAAAACAGTGTCCTTAGAGAACAGAGCGCCGATGGGTTAAAACAAGACGGCCTCAGCCAGACATGTTCTGAGAACATGTTGCGCAGACCACACGAGCTCCCCAGAACACTCTCTTTTCTTTGTCGGGAGCGGCCAAGAGGGGGGTGTCCAAGAGGGGGGGGTGCAAATCATGACCGGCGGCATGTGCGCGGCCCAGCGGGGGGGCCAGGGACGTAATGAAGTGAGAAGGGGCGCCATGAAATCTGGGGAAATATCATGGCCCCCGCCATGATATCAACCCCCCCTAGTCATCACCCCCCTCTTTTCCGCCCCCGATCTTTGGTGGGCCTATAGGCACGCCGGGGCGCTTCGCCACGGCGCGATGCACAGCAGCTCTGTCGAGCAGTGTGCCTCGCACGGCGCGGCTGCGGGCGCGACGCCACGGCCCGACCGACCCCGAAGAAAACGACGATGCCCAGCGGGCGCCAGCTGCCGTGCGCTCGAACAACAAAAACGGGGGTGCGGCCTCTGGTCCTTCTCCGCCGCAGGCTCGCGCTCCTCGTCGGCTTTGGCATCCGCCTGCGAGCAGGGATCGACCTCAGCGGTCTTGGTTCGGGCTCGTGTGCTGTTCTCGTTTTCCATCGTTCTGTCTTCCGTCCGCCCTGTGCTGCAAAACGGCATGGGAACGAGGACGGCCCACGAAATCGCCCAAACACCGTTCAGGTCGACCCCTGCTTTTCAAGGAGCTCGGAGCCGGGGGAGGGGTGGAACGTCGTCCCTTCGCCGAGGGCGAGGGCGAGGAACGGGTGGAGGGAGGGACGGAGGCTCTGCCCCGCGTGACGCGGTCTTCTGAGAAGGCCGCCCATTGTGCCGTGGACTGCGTTATCAGAGGCTGCGGCACCTATCGTCCCGTCTGTGCTGAACACGGAGCATCGTAGGAGCAAGGAAAGGCGACACCAACCCTGCCAGGGCGAGAAGATGCGAGGAGCAAGAGGGGGCTCCCTGGTGGTATGGTCCCCCCCTCTCGCTCGAGACATCCCCAGCCTCGAGTTCAGGGAGGCATCGTGGACCTCCTTTGTGGAGGCGGCCCCCCTTGTGGTGTTGGTGTCGCTTCTCCTCCCTCCGATATCGTCCCTTAGCTACTCTCGCAAACACTGCTGGGGAGCTGCTCAGAGGTCCGAGCCCCAACTCGCACGGGCTGGGCATCGAATGTCCAGCACCGCGTCCTCTGCTGGTGCTTCTCGTGCAATCGAGTGCGAGTCTGGTGTCCCGGGTGCGGCCAGGGCCAGCGCGGGTACGTTTCCACCCCCGTCTGTTGCAGCACAGTCTGCCCTGAGAGACGTGAGTGTCGAGGAACAGCAGGCGCAGCAACAAGCTGCCAGCTCGCTATCATGAACTATCTGCGCTGTTTGGCACCATCTCGCCTACCCGCTCGGGCGCGCTTCGAACCTGATTGATGCGTTGACGCGCGGGGGGCCGATCTCAAACCATTCGAATCGACACACGCGCACACATACGTACACACACGCACACTTCTTGGCGGTCGCGGCCTCGCGCGCAGCGTCGAGGCGGAGAAACTTGAGTGCAACGGCAAGGGTCCCGCGCGCGCCGGGCTCAGAGGAAGAAGCGCCATATGCCATCCGGGCACACGCACACGCAGACACACACACACACACACATACACACACACACACACACACGCACACACACAGACACACACGCACACACACACACCGAAATCACGGACTTTGGCTCCCCTCAAGGTCCCTTCTGACTCCTCCGAGTCTGATATGCGCGTGTGCCTGCCGACAATATGCAACTGTACGCGCCCGCCCGCCCGCCCGAAGTTGCATGGTATGCGGGGTCCGCGGAACCGCACCTGCAATCTACGCAAAAGAACCGCAAGGCGAACGTATGCCATCGAATGCAAACGCACGCCTTGTTGCAATCGCCAATAGACCAATCCAATGCGAAAAATCCTTCATACCAACTGTTTTGTCAATGACTTCGCACGCTCCATGCAGATAACCAGTGAAGCCTGAGCACTACAAATTGCCCCACCGGGCCCCCAAACACCGCTCAAAAATATCCCTACGTTTCCGAGTCGGGCGTCCCATCGTGATCTACCCGTCCCCACCCCCAGGAAGGATTCCCAGACGCACAGCCAAAAGCTGGTGCCCAAAAGCGGGCCTCGGGAGAAGATGGCCACGGGTCTCTGCGCACCGGGCTCCGCCAATGCGATCTCCGAGGATCTCACGACGGTCGACCTGATGTCCTGGAGTCCGGGCTCGGGCCATACGAGAATCTGGGGCTCGCCGTCGACCATGGGGGCCCTCAGAGCTCGTCCTGGAGGGCCTTCACGGGGAAACGAAAAGGTCCCAAATCATTAGACCTCACGGACGCCATCTTGAAAAACAAAACCGGGGGCGTGCGGACCAGCACAGATCCAGGAGACGCCATCTGATTCAAGCACCTGGCAAAAGGCTAGCTGGCATCCACCAGAACCTTACACAACGTACAGGCCCCAATCACCCCTCCACATGCCATACGGGCCGCGCCGGACTTGATGAATCCAAACATGAGACGAAGGAACGAACACGTCATAAACATCGACTATTGGCGCTCCGCGCGGAGCGCCACAAATTTATGCTTACATCTTTGAAATCCGCTGGCTTCCGCGGACCTTCTGCCTGCGGAGCAGCCCTCTCTCTGACTTCGGCGACCTCCCGTCGGTCTACCGCCAGCCGCCAGCCTCCGCTGCGTGTGAGATGTCACTCGCTCGATCCCTCGGGGAGAAAATGATGACGGCTTCAGCTCAGCTTAACCAGCCGTGGGAAGCACCCTGCACACCCAAAAAGAACAATAATAAGAGAAATGCCAGGAGGCCCGCGCGGATTTCTTGGATCGACGCTGGACCCCTCTAGCGGCACCCCTGGCGCAGCCAAGGGGCGTTGACATCATGTTCACGTGTATGCCGCTTTTGCTCCTCCGACCAGAGGGACAACACAAGCCACACTTCTGGGCACCACCTTGCTGCAGGAAGCCGAAGGCTTCTCCCGGGAGCCCCACGGCCTCGCAGGCAAGAGCCCGCGCTGTCCCCGTAAGGTCGACGACGAAGACGGCAGGGCCGCAGACGTTCCCGACCCACGACGTCGCATTTCCTTCAGCAACGTGACCCTCCCCAGACTCCCGACGTTATGACTTTTGTTCATGAATTCAACCCCCAGATGTCTGGACCCACTCCCCAGGACCGGTTTTTCATCCTGAGTCGTTTTGTTGACGGTCCTGGGGCCCGGTAGGGCCCCCAAAAACCTCCCGTTGTTTTTTGTCATGATTCGAGGGGGTCTGGGTCCAGAGGTCCCGACCTCTTCCCCGGGGCTGACAGCACATCCCGAAAAAAAACGCTCCTCTCGACGGCCTCGGGGCCCCGTGTGAGGACTCCTGGAGGCCGGGAACGGGGAAGCGCCTTGCCGTCGAGACTCTGGTCCGCGGCGTCTAGTCTGGGTCTGGGGTCCGAATCGGCGGTGGACACACCTCCCTTTAGTTAACCTCCCTTTAGTGGGAACAGCCTAGGACCGAAACCGACGGACCTGAACCCACAAAAATGACGGCCGCGACGCCCTCTCGCGAACCGGCAGCGGTCACTTCGCTAATCGACGCGTCAGGGTAGGAGGTCTATCAACCTCCGAGCGAAGCCGTTTGATAAACTGAACGCGCCCAAAGAAGGAATCGAACAGGGTGAGGCTGTTCAGTCAACGCCCAGGGCCGTTTCATATTCGGGGCCCCAAAAAGGTGTGGTGACCACACCATGTGGTGAGTCGGTGGGGATTCGGGGTCACCGCATGGCTTTGGGACTCGGGTCGTTCTCCGAGGATGTCTCGGGCGACTGGGGCATCCGAAGTCCCAGAACCGTGGTTTGACGGACCGTGCGGTGAGGTCTTGGGGGACTTCGAGGTCACCGCACGGTCTGTCACCGCACCGCTTCGGGACTCCACAGCTTAGCAAAACACTGATTTTCGGGTCCGGGTGTTTCTTCTTCCCTCGACAAAGCTCGACCAGCGGGCCCCATTGTCCTGGGCTGCGTCTGGACGGGGACTTCGAGGGGAGGCCAGCCGTAGCGAAGAGGAAGTCTCCCCGAGGCCCGTCTACACCGACCCTGGGCACAGGGTCGGCCCCCGGCAGAAAGCGGCAGCAACAGCCAAGACCCCCGAGGCTGCGACTTCTTGTTCGCAACGAGGGCCTCCGAGGGTCTGGGGGGCCCAGTCCCCGCGACGGAGGATGACGTCCTGAGACATTTTTGTAGTCCTCCTCCTCCTCCTCCTCCTCCTCCTCCTCCTGCTCCTCCTCCTCCTCCTCCTCGTCCCGCGGGGCTGGTGGAGGACCCCTCGACGCCGAAAATTGTCGAACACCCAGCGTCGTGATCTGCCTGGAAAAAAATCCGGCGTCGCGAACAAACGTGCAGCAGCCAGACAAAGGACGGCCAGAGCCCTGGGCCCCATCTTTCTGCGCCATCTTTCAGGCCCGATCGATCCGTGATGGTCCCGGAGCACGAAACAGAGCAAGATCGCCTGTAGAGGAAAAAATGCGACGCCCGGGGATCTGAGGGTTTTCGCAACGAGAGGATCTCAGGACACAGCGTGGATCCTCAAGGTGCAAGTCGGCGCCTCCGAAGGCTATGGTCTGCAGAGGGTGCGGTTTGCACCCGTCCGCTGGGGGGCGAGCGCGGACCTCGAGAGAGTTCTCCGCCGCGCTCGGGCGAGGCCCGACGAGGGCAACGTGGCGCCCCCCCCCGAGATCCAACGACGCAGACAGCAAACCACACCCCGGCATCACCACACCTCCTGGGCCCCGGGCGGACACAGCTGTCCGCACCCGCAACCTCGAGGGGCCCGGGCCTCTGGGCCGCGAGGCCCCGCGGGCGCGGAGCGCTCCTCCGCGCATGCCCGGGCACGGAGCGTATACCCGTGCGGCCGCGCATCCGCGGGATCGCGCCCCGAGGCCCAGACCGCGAGGGCGCAGATGCGGACACGTGCGCCGCTCGTGGCCCTTGGCTTTAGGGCCATCGTTCTGATCTGCGGCGGCCGCTCGGGACGATCCGGGCACCCCGGGAAACGCCCGCGGCGAGGCGCAGCCGCTGGAAGGCACCCCGAGGCTGGAAAGGCGCCGAGAAGCAGCAAAGACGCGCAAAAACCTCGATCCTCGAGCCTCGAACCTCGAAGGCGTCCATACGGATTTCTGCCGCTCCTGAACACCCTATCCTCGGCGGCGAGCAAGGGGAGAAATAAGGAGGAGAAGGCCTTCTCAGAAGGCGACGCAACTTCTCTCAGAAAGAAGCCCGACAGCCTTCCGAGAGGTTTCTTCGCGTCTTCGGGAGAAGCCCAAACAACTTCTCGCAGAAGGCCGGGGAACTCCCGAGCCTTCTGAGGAGGCCCGCCCCTTCATTGGGGGAACCAAAAGGCACCGATACCGCTACTCCCTGGACCTCTCCTGGGGTGCGTTCTGACCACTACCCCGAAGCGAATCCGGCGGTGGCGACGAGCGCCGGCCAGAAGGCCCAAAAAGAGGAAAACGAGGGAAGGGTAGATGTATGGATACCTGTACCTCCTCTGATTCTCACTACCCTCCCTCGCTCGCCGCCGATTTCTAGTCGACGGTCCATGCTCGAGGTCGCCGCGGGCGGGGCCGGCCCTCCTTGGCCTTCTGCTTCGCCCTCGTGGCGACGAGCACGGCCGCCCCCGCCTGCGCCCGCGCCTGGGGCGGCCGCGGCCCTCTGCCCTACCCCACTCGGTTCCCAAGCCTCGAGCCTCGAGCCGAGGTCCTCGAGCCGCGATCCTCGATCCTCGATCCGCGATCCTCAGTCCTCGCTCCTCGATCTTCCATCCTCGAGCCTCGCTCCTCGATCCGCGAGGCTCGATCCCCTCTCGATTCTCGAGCGTCGAGCCTCGAGGCTCGATCCTAGCCCTTCGATCCTCGATCCTGCATCCTCGCTCCTCGATTCCCCCTCCTCCTCCGTCTATCCTCCTCGTTCTTCCGATGATCGGCGGCGCGCCCAGGGCGGAGAACCCGGCGATCCCGGCGTCGCATCTTTTGCGCCACGGGCCATTCTGCCCTGCTTCGGGCCCCGGGTTCCTCGCAAAAATCGACCCGTCTCGAAGTACGGCGCAGCAGACTGTGGTCCAGGGCGCCCGTGTGTCCGCTTCTCCTCCGCCTCGTCGCAACCCCGACGCCCTCGCCCTCGCTCGGCGCTGATGGGGCGATTTTTCCACCACCACTGCCATAGGTAAGAGAGGGAGGAGGAGGAGGAGGAGGAGGAGGAGGAGGAGGAGGAGGAGGAGGCGGAGGAGAAGGAGGAGGCGGCGGCGGCGGCAAAACGGTGTCGGGCTGAAGGTCGAACAAAAATCGGCTGAAACCAACCATCCGAGATCTACTCAAACAATTGCGACCTACCGTACGCGTCGGATGACGTCGAGAGGAAGATGGCCCCACAGCGAGAACCCCGAGTGAACCTCGCTCTACCACAGATCCAGAGCTCCGACACGAATTTGCGGACCAAGGCCAGAACAAAAACAAACCCCACGGTCCAGGGCGGCCCCAGGTCCAGGGCGGCCCCAGGTCCAGGTCCGAGGGCCTACCTCGGAAACATTCTGATCATGTCCTGAAAACTATGTTGCGGAGAATCGGAAGAGAGACGAGGACGAGGACGAGGCTCAGGGGGAGGGGGAGAAGAAGCAGACACGACTGCAGCGGCAGAGAACTGTGCCTCCTCAAAGACGAGGAGGAGGAAGAGGAGGAGGAGGAGGAGGAGGAGGAGGAGGAGGAGGAGGAGGAGGGGGAGGAGAAGGGGGAGGAGGAGGAGGAGGAGGAGGAGGAGGAGGAGGAGGAGGAGGAGGAGGAGGAGGAGGAGGAGGAGGAGAACCTCCCCATCCTGCCTTCTCCCCCGTCCTACCTATGGTGGTGGTGGTGCAGTATTGGCCCATCATCCTCGTCCTCACCCTCCTCCCGCCTCGCTCCTCCACCTCGAGCCGCTCCCCTCCTGGCCCCGTCCCTCCTCCCTCCTCGCTCGTGCCTCGACCCGCGACTTCGCCCTCCTCCCGCCTCCTTCGGGCACGACGTGAGCCGTGATAGCCGTCGTCGTCGTCGTCGTCGTCGTCGTCGTCGTCGTCGTCGTCGTCGTCGTCGTCGTCGTCGTCGTCATCGTCATCATCGTCGTCGCGCGTGCCAGCGCGCGCAAGCGTGCATCGAACTGGTCCGGTAAAACGCTTAGCGTCGCCCTGCTGGTCTTCCTCCCTCAGGCATCCGATGGATTGTTTCTTGTTCAGTGCGCGGTCCCCGGCAGCCCTGGCCCCTTTCCCCGGGGCTGGTTGTTCATCACGGGTCGCGCGTGGACGGTCCCAGGGCCCCGCGAGGGCCCCCAAAGGGCCGACAAAACTGCCGCTGACACGTTGGAGGCCTGGGCCCACCCCGTCTTCCTCCCTCGCGCCCCGCCCCTCGGCCCCCTTCCCTCGTGCCTCGCCCCGGCCTCCTCCCGCCTCGATCGAAAGACGCGAGCCGTGTAACTACCAGACCCGCTTGATACACGCCGTCGCGCGTGCCAGCGCGCGCAAGTGTGCACCGAACTAGTCTGGCACACGCTTGGCTTCGCCCAGCTCGCCGTGCTCCCTCTCTGCCTCGTCCATCCTGCTTGGGGCGGGGTGCCCAAGGGCCACGCCTGCTATGCAGCGGTGACCATGGGGCCCTCAATACAAAGGGGCTGGCGGGCAACAACAAGCAAATCGCATGAGACATCCCCAAACTATGGACGCGAACGGGCGAGTTTCATACCCTCTGGCGGCTACCCCGTGGAGTGCCCAATTGCCACGTCTGCTGTGTCGCGGTGACCATACTGTGAGTGTGATTGATCACACATGTGAATGGTATGTGTGTATGGGTGGGAGAAGTATGTGTATGAGTACGTCTGAGTATGAGCAAGACTGAATATCAAAGGATCTGGGTGATAATAAATCTGAGTATCAGTGGATCCGAATATGAGTGAACATGCATGAGAGTGAGTCAGAGTGTGAGTGACCTGTGTGTGACGAGTAGTTTGTGCATGAGGAAGTCTGAGTATGAGCAAGTCTAACTAAGGACCAGCAATGACCAGAACCCCGTACATGGGATATGGGGAACGACAAACTACCTTAAATCTTCGGCAGATCTGGGAAACGCCATCAGGGCGGAACCCGAGCGGCGCCTCTGGAGCAGACCCTGGCGCGCTCCGCGCACCAGGGACGCAGATCCAGAGCCGATCCAAGATATCTGCGCGAATGTCCGAAGTGCCAAAATCATAAATGTGATCAACATCGTGATTTATCACACGTGTCCGAACGCGTGCCATTGAGACGCGGATTTCCATGACAACATATGTTGAGCAATAATCGAACAGTTTGATGTTTCTGATCTCCCATGTGTATTACCTGAGGGCATCCAACCCTTTCCAGCATATACGGGCGATGCGAGATATGATTGTGAGTCTGCGTGCTCCATTCGTCGTCGCTCTTCGGACCTCCAGAGGTGTCTCAACGCTTCTTTGGTTCCCCAGGGACATCGGGAAAAGAACTCTCGGGCACCGGCAACCTGCGGGCAGCCCCATTTCTTGTCAGACGCGCCTACTGCAGAAAGCGAGAGAGAGTGGCGTGACCGACTCCTCCAAATACCAACCTCCTTCACCCGAAGGTCCCCCCGTCGGGTGCGACCTGACCGACCCATTCTGTAGTCCGAGCCCCTCCGCGACGAACCACGCACCCTCTAGGCTCCCCTCCGTCCACCTTCCGACGTCTTGTCGGGTCGGACGAACGGGGCGGATAGCAAAACGGGGGGATGTTTTGGACGCCCGAACTGGGTACGGGAAAAAGTTGTACAATGCCCAAAAACAGATGCTGTCCAAAACCGACAGCGGCCACTGTTGGGCAGGCGGCTTCATGTCTTCAGTGAACAACGTCCGCGGCGGCGCGGACAGCGAGTCGTACTCAAAATGAACAGGAACTGCTGTTGGGCATTGTACCCATTCTTTCCGTACCCATCTCGATCGTCCCGAGATGACTAATCGGCTCTGGTTTTCTGGCGCCTCCCGGCGCCGGCAGGTGCCAATGGATCCACCAAGGGGCCGGAACCAGCTGCACACAGCGGATGTCGCACCCGCCCCCTTGTCGTCCGACCCGATCCTGGAGGGAGGTCAGGAAAGGGGGGGCCGTCACGACAGGGGCCGGTGGTTTGACGAGGGGTCGCTCAGACCGCCCCTGACCGAGAAGAAGCTCTCGCCACCTTGCCTGGGGCGCCGCCGTCGACGCCGCCATCGCGGCGCGGGAGGCGCCGAGGGCGGGCCAATCCGCCCTGGGGGGTGTCGCCAGCCGACGACGACGACGACGCCTGCCTACGACGACGACGACGACGCTGGCCGACGATGACAACGACGAGGGCCCCGCCGGCACGAAAACACCTGCCCCTGACCGCCCCTGACAGGGGCCCGGGCAGAATCGGACACGAGGGCAGGGATCTCTGAGACCCGCCCGTTCTGGAGGTACTATCGGGCGCCGCGGCAGTTCCAGAGCGCGCCGGAGGGCTCGCCCTCAGAGCGTCCTGGAGCGTGCATCGAAGAACCAACACAATCGTAAGCATTCAAACTTCCCGAGGTCCGCGTGGATCTCTTGAAGCGGCGCTGGAGCCCCCCTGGCGGCGCCACCAGCGCCGCCCCCTGGCGCGCCCCGCGCACCAGGGAGGGAAGTCCAGCGCCGACCCAAGAAAACCGCGCGGAACTCCGAAAATTCTTGTTTATTCGGCTACACGCAAGAGTGATCCTGGGTAAGAGTGACCTTTGGTGCGCGGCTTTCTGGGGGCCGCGCGGGGACCAAACACAAGCGCGCAGACGCCACTATCGCATCGCATCCGGCGATCGGGGGACCCCAACGGGCCCGCACCAAAGGTCACTCCGGCGAAGGGTCACTCTTACGCGTGACCGAACTCTGGCATTCTGCCTTCCTCGAGCTCTGGAGCGACTCCATCCAGGTCCTGGGCCCACCCGCCTGACCCCGACCTGCCCGTCCGCGCCGTCTCCGACTCCATGCATGTCAGGAGCGACTCAATCCAGGCATCAGGAGGCCAGGAGGACCCTGGCGGAGCCAAAACCGTTTTGGCAGAGATGGATCGCTGAAGAGTTCAGGGCGGCCACGAACCTTGAGCTTCCTTGGCGCTGTCGCGCTGTGCTTGCCAGGCGGGACTGCTTTCGCGCGGCCACGGGTCCTGTCAGGGGGACGTAAGACCTGGGTACAGGGGACTCGGGAATCCCCGACGAGGTCGTCAAAAAAATGACGAGGCCGAGCCTGCATTTTGACGAGGCCTCCCGCTGCAGACATCCCACGAAACTCCTCCTCGTCAAAATCCGAGGCGCGGTCGTCAAAAAACGATGGCGAACCCGAGTCCTGGCAAACCCGGGTCTTACGCTCCCCCGATCCTGGCCCCGCCCCCTCTCCCTCCCCGCCCGCGCCGTCTCCGGCTTCGCCGGCTTGGCGGCCTTCGCGGGCCCCGGGGGCGGCTCGCCGCCCTTCCGGCCCGCCGCTGCGGCAGCCTCGGGCGAGGCGGGGGGCACGGGCACCGAGGAGCAGCAGGGAGGCCCCGCTCCCCCCGCCTTGCTCCTCCTCCCTCTCCTGCTCCAGCTCCTGCTCCTCCTCCTCCTCCTCCTCCTCCTCCTCCTCCTCCTCCTCCTCTCCTCCTCCTCCTCCTCCTCCCTCCTCCTCCATCCTCCTCCTCCTCCTCCTCCTCCTCTCCTCCTCCTCCTCCTCCCCGCCCCTCCTCCTCCTTCCTCCGCCTCCTCCTCCTCCTCCCCCTCCTCCTCCGCCTCCTCCTCCTCCGCCTCCTCCTCCTCCTTCAGAGAAACAAAGAGAGAGAGAGAGAGAGAGAGAGAGAAAAACAAAAAAAAGAGAGACAGAACAAAAAATATCCTGGCGAAGGACCCAGCCATATGCAATTGTGAATACCGAAATTGTGAATATCTTCTTCGGTGGAGCTCCCTATGGGGCCACGAAACGTGTGAGGGGTGTGCCGAAACTGGTGTGCGGGACGCATGTGGGCACACCCACTGGGGCCTTCGGCGGAGCTCCCTATGGGGCCACGAAACGTGTGAGGGGTGTGCCGAATTGGACGTGCGGGACGCATGCGGGCACACCCACTGGGACCGTCGGTGGAGCCCCCTACGGGGCCAAGAAACGTGTGAGGGGTGTGCCGAATTGGGTGTGCGGGACGCATGCGGGCACACCCACTGGGGCCTTCGGTGGAGCTCCCTATGGGACCACGAAACGTGTGAGGGGTCACGAAACGCGTGAGGGGTGTGCCGAAATGGGTGTGCGGGACGCATGCGGGCACACCCACTGGGGCCTTAGGTGGAGCTCCCTACGGGGCCACGAAACGTGTGAAGAGTGTGCCGAAATGGGTGTGCGGGACGCATGCGGGCACACCCACTGGGACTTCGGCGGAGCTCCTTATGGGGCCACGAAACGCGTGAGGGGTGTGCCGAATTGGGTGTGCGGGACGCATGCGGGCGGCCACTGGGGCCTTCGGCGGAGCTCCCTATGGGGCAACGAAACGTGTGAGGGGTGTGCCGGAATGAATGTGCGGGACGCATGCGGGCACAACCACCGGACCTTCGGTGGAGCTCCCTTGGGGCCACGAAAACGTGTGAGGGGTGTGCCGAATGGGTGTGCGGGACGCATGCGGGCGGCAGCACTGGGGCCTTCGGTGGAGCTCCCATGGGGCCACGAAACGTGTGAGGGGTGTGCCGAAATGGGTGTGCGGGACGCATGCGGGCGGCAGCACTGGGGCCTTCGGTGGAGCTCCCTATGGGGCCACGAAACGTGTGAGGGGTGTGCCGAATTGGGTGTGCGTGACGCATGCGGGCGGCAGCACTGGGGCCTTCGGCGGAGCTCCCTATGGGGCCACGAAACGTGTGAGGGGTGTGCCGAATTGGGTGTGGGTGACGCATGCGGGCGGCAGCACTGGGGCCTTCGGCGGAGCTCCCTATGGGGCCACGAAACGTGTGAGGGGTGTGCCGAATTGGGTGTGCGTGACGCATGCGGGCGGCAGCACTGGGGCCTTCGGCGGAGCTCCCTATGGGGCCACGAAACGTGTGAGGGGTGTGCCGAATTGGGTGTGCGTGACGCATGCGGGCGGCAGCACTGGGGCCTTCGGTGGGGCTCCCTATGGGGCCACGAAACGTGTGAGGGGTGTGCCGAATTGGGTGTGCGTGACGCATGCGGGCGGCAGCACTGGGGCCTTCGGTGGAGCCCCTATGGGGCCACGAAACGTGTGAGGGGTGTGCCGAATTGGGTGTGCGGGACGCATGCGGGCGGCAGCACTGGGGCCTTCGGCGGAGCTCCCTATGGGGCCACGAAACGTGTGAGGGGTGTGCCGAATTGGGTGTGCGGGACGCATGCGGGCGGCAGCACTGGGGCCTTCGGCGGAGCTCCCTATGGGGCCACGAAACGTGTGAGGGGTGTGCCGAATTGGGTGTGCGGGACGCATGCGGGCGGCAGCACTGGGGCCTTCGGCGGAGCTCCCTATGGGGCCACGAAGCGTGTGAGGGGTGTGCCGAAATGGAGGAGGGAGGAGGGAGGAGAGGAGAGAGGAGAGGGAGGAGAGGAGAGGAGAGGAGAGGAGAACGCGGGGCGACGTCTCTTCAAAACGAAGACCCAACACCACAGGATGGTTGGGAAAAAACCAAGATTCGGAATTCCACGCAGATTTCTCGGATCCGCGCTGAGGCCACCCCGCCCTGGCGCCGCCGGAAGCGCGCCCTGGGGCGCCGCTGGAGGTGCGCCGTTCCAGAGGGCCCTGGGGGGGGGCAGCACAGGCCCAGAAGAGCCGCGCGGAGCTCCTAGAACATGGTCCAAGTGAACCCCACCCTCCCCCTCAGAAACCGTGGGGGGTAGGGGCAGGGCTCGCATGTGGCCCCCTGAGGACAGAGCCTGGGCTCCCTGTGCACTCCGCACGCCACGCTGCGCAACCTCGGCAAGACCCGTGCTGCTGAGGCCCCGCGCGCCGTCGCTCCCGACGACCTGCGAGAGGCAGCTGCCCCCCAGCGCAGATCCCGCGCGCGTGGCGAGCGCCGGCGCCGTCCCCTGAGAGGAGCGGCGCCGGGGTGCCAAAACGGCCCGCGACGTCCACGCTGCCCCCCTGGCCATCGCTCGGACGTCCATTCCCTGTGCTTTTTTCGATTTCGTGCGTGGTTTTTTCGCCAAATGATCAAATGATGCTCCTCGATGGTCCTCGCCGAAGGAAAAATGCACACGTCCGGGCGATGCCAAGCCCCTCGAGGGCTCCGCGGACACCAGCAAGGCAGCGCCAGGGTCCCGGCTACACGTCAAGACCGGCGGTGGACAAACCTCCCTTTAGTAAACCTCCCTTTAGTGAAAACGGCCAGGGACCGAAACCAACGGACCTGGACCCGCAAAAATGACAGCCGCGACGCCCTCTCGCGAACCGAAAACGGCAAATTCGCTAGTCGACGTGTCAGGGTAGGAGGTCTGTCTACCCCCGAAAAGAGTGACCCTGGGCAAGAGTGACTGACCTCTGGTGCGATGACTTCCGGGGGCCGCGGGGAGGCCGAGCTGGATCGAGCAAGCCGCTGCTATCGCATCTCGTTCAGCCATCTGGGGACCCCGGTGAGCCCGCACCAGAGGTCACTCCGGCGAAAGGTCACTCTTACGTTTAGCCGAGAGTCTCCAAGGACGACGCCAGTGCCCGACGAGCCCCAAGAGGCATGAGCTGAGCCCCGAGAAGCACGGGATAGACCGTCAGAGGGAAGCCCAGAGGCTGCAGGAGACGCCCCAGACAGCTTCCCATGCTTTCCAGCATGTGCATTCAAGAGTGTTTGACACGAGTGGTTGTGAAGGCCATGTATCGGCGCAAACAGTGCCCAAGAAGGTCCTAAGACGGTCGAAGACAGCCACACAAGAGCCCCAATATCACTTACCCAAGAGGGCCCGCAGAAGAGCCCAATATTGCCTGCGAGGCCGCCAATGCCGCCCGAGAAAGCCCCACACAGCCCCCTCGGAGAGCGCCAGCATGCCCCAAGAGGGCACCTCCCCATAAAGCCCTGAGACGCACCAAGACGGCCCAGGCGGCCCCAAGAGACCCCGAGAGCGGCCCAGACTGGGCCCCCCAAACTGGCCCTAAGAGGGTCCAGAGACAGCCAACGAAAAGGCCCTAAGAAAGCACCATCAACCACAGCTAGACACTCCCCTCCGCCTCACTCGCCCCCTCTTTCCCACAGTGACTCCGTCTCAGTATCCTCGTCATCTCCCTTGTGTTGCTCATTGTGCGCATCGTCGTTATCATCCTTTCTCTCCGTCCTCATGTTCCTCAGCCTCCCTCTCCTTCCCCTCTTTTCCGCAACCTGATTGTGCCATGCTCCTAGATCAACGCCTGCAGAGGCAAACAACAGTGCCCAACCTGAACACAAGGGGTCGACAGAGGTGGAGCAAACCTGAATCATTGACGAATCATCGTGAGGGGCGCAGAATGGACTAAAGGACATCACGAGATGTACTTAAGGACCAGTGCTCTGAGGACGCAGAGGCATCGCTGAATGGCGGCAAGACGCAGGGAAGCGCAGCCAAGGACAGTGGCCTTGGATGTTGGCGGCTGGTCGTGGTCCTCTTCAAAGTCCTGCTCCTCCTGGGAGCGCATGATAGGCGGGGAATTCGACACGATTGGCTCCATGCTCGCACAACTGGCGCGCGCATTCATTCCCCCGAAGAATCGTTACTCTTGACTGGTGACCGCTGGCAAGCACAGTGACGAAACGCCGCGGTTCTTAGCACATTGCAAGAAGCAAGAACCCGTGCTGTCGTCGCGGTCCCACGCCCGCAAACAGTGCGACATGATACCACCCATGAGACGCGTCAAGACCTCCTGTCGCCGCCCTCGTCTGGATGGCCAAGACTAGCAGTCTGCGAACGCGAGAGTTCACGCAAGGCTCGAGCGGGTAAAAGGTGACCGTCGGGCTGCCCGCAACACTCTCGGCCGCCGACCATGATCAGAACGCTGAGTCGCCGAGGATACTCGGCAGATGGGGAGCGGAGTGCGGGAACTAAGCCATGTCAAGAGGCATGACATGCTGGGGGCACATTGGCATGAAAGACAGGGAGACACGTCGGTCGGAAGCAATGGGCAGAAACATGAAGCAGGAATGCGTTGGAAGTAGATTGGGCTTCCAACGCAAGGAAAAGGTGAAACCGCTCGATCCTTGAAGTAGGAGCCTATTTTGCATCATTCGCGATCACGGGCGTGATCGGGCGAGGGGCGGGGGAGCTCGTCCACCCCAATCACATCACGGCGGGGGGCCGCCGGAAATCTTAGGACATCTGCGAGGGCTCCATGGAACATCCGTGCAGACGCGGGCCAAATAGTGTGACGTGATCCGGGGGAGGGGGAAGAGGGCCGATCACAGGCTCCGGAAGTGGAGTGAGATCTGGATACCTACCCTCAAGGGCCGACGCGCACCGGCGGAGACGGGTCTGCTGGACCCCACGGGCCTGATGCCTGGGGCAACCGCGGCAGCGCAGGGCCTCCGCCCGCGAAGGCTCTCGAGAGCAGCAAGGACGGGGGGCGGCAAGCGATGGGCGGCGCGAGAACGTGCAGGCCGACCGGGGGGGCACAAGGACCCGACCTAGAGAGCAACAAATCCACCCTCACAATAAACACCCCGACGAGAGGAGCCGTTTAGGAAACGCACCCAAGGAAGGAATCGAACAGTGTAGGGCTGTTTTGTAAACGCTCCGGGCCGTTTAATAAACGCAAATTATCGGGGTCGGGGTGGTTTTCCTCCCTTGGCGACAGGCGATTCGAGTGGGGGATCGACTACAGAAGTGACGTACCCCGAAATTGGAGTTTTCGTCGAGCCTTCGAGAACAGTACGTCGAATGGCTGAAGATCTACGAACGTCCGACGCATCTCCCGTGGATTCGACAAGTACACCACTTGTTGGCGGCACATCACTTCTGCGGCCGATCCCCTGCTCGAGCGCTGGGCGACGCGCGACCGCGTGCCGGCCGACCGGGCGAACGACGAGGGCCCGACCCGACGTGGAGAAGCCTCGGAACAAATCAGCGAACACTTGCCTCAGTCATCCGTCAACGCCTCCCCCTCCCCCCAATGTTCAAAGTTGGCGGTGGGTCTGATGAGATGCGCTTCGACCGCAGTCTCCCCCGCGCGTGCCAACATTGAGTTTTCGGGAGCGGCAAAGAGGGGGGTGTCCAAGAGGGGGGGGGGTGCAAATCATGACCAGCGGCATGTGCGCGGCCCAACGGGGGGGCCAGGGACATAATGAAATAAGAAGAGGCGCCATGAAATCTGGGGAAATATCATGCCCCCCGCCATGATATCCCCCCCCCCCTAGTCATCACCCCCCTCTTTTCCGCCCCCGAAGTTTGGGGGGGAGGGGGAGTGTTCAGTAATTGTGTCCCTCTGCCGTATCGCGCGGCACTCCCCCCCTTGCGCTCGGCCGCCGGGACGGACCTCCGCGGCCACGTGCGCAGCCCATGGCGCGCCAGAGCCTCGCGAGGGCAGCCCTCCCGGGCAGGGAGGGGCCGCCCCAGCACTCCCAGACCGCAGGCCTGCCACGGCATGGTCCTGGAGCCACCGGCTGCTCTGATGGCCAAGAAACAACCTTCTTCGGGCATGCGCCCGATGCGCGAAAACAAGGCAGTCTCAGCCAGACAGGTCCTAGGAACATGTCGTGCAAACCGCAAGACGTTTTTTCTCCCAACCCTCCTTGGTTGGGTATTCGTTTTGAATAGAGCAGTGTGGTCTCCACTCCTTCCTTCCTCCTCCTCCTCCCTCCCTGCCTCTTCCT